AACAAATTTCAAATTGGAAAGTCAGCAAGTGTTTATACGTATACGTTATATTTGTTAAATTGTATAACTAGGCCTTTGAATAAAACCTGTAGTTAAGAACCTTAAAATAAAGTTAACTAAATTGGAAAAAAAATATACCACCCGTCTTACCACGAAGTAACAAATAGGACAATTCTTACATGGAGGTGTTGGTTCTTGTTCATCTTCATGTTTTTCCTTTGGTGATAAGAACTTTTCCGCTTTATAAATTTCCTGTTATTTACTAAACTACTAATCAGTTCACTTTGTAGTTTCTTTTTATTAAGGTCTTCATTAAATGTGTTTAATTTTTGGGATTATTTTTCCAACGACTTGGAAGAAATATTTCCGGTTTTAATTTCGGAAAAGTAATTTGGCGATAAGAAATGCAAATCCATATAAAGTTCTCTGTTTTATTAAAATCTGCTTGACATACTTTCTACCACTGTGTCCATTATTTATTACAATAAAAACTTCATCTGTAAATTTGGAGAACTCGTTTGGAGCAGCTTTGTTTCCACGTGTTCTCCACACCTGTATTTTTCTGATTTAGTTTCGCGTTTGCCGAAAAAACCGTCTGATAGCATTTTAAAATATCCATTCCCTGTGTTTGAAGATATTTAGATAATTTACAATCGCCAGTTTGACTTATAAGGGTCATAAAAGTTTTACAAGGTGTATGTCAAGTGAGGTTACTTGTGGATATTGAAAACTACAAGAAAATGTCTTCAACTACTATTCGAAAATAGTTAAAAAATAGTGGAAAATGTTATAAGTGTCAAAATCAGTCTTATTTTACTAAACACTGCGCTTGCCTACCCACTGTCTATTTTCTTACACGGTATCATTTGCCAAAATCACTCTGATATTAGCAAATACTAGCCCCGCCCACCCGCCCTCTATTTTCTTGGAGCGTATGTTATTTGCCAAAATCAGTCTTACCTCAGCAGGTACTAAGCCCGCCCACCCTCCCTCTTCTCATTCTGGCGACTAATTTTATTTCTGCTCAGTATCAAATCATTCATCATTCAGATCGAATCAAGTCAATCACTGAGAAGGAGACAGGGTGGATGGGTGGGGCTAATCTCATGAAAAACTTATACAATAAACGAAGCCGAAAATGACTTCTGGATATCGAAATCTACAAGAGAATGTCTTCAACCAATTTTCGGAAATAGTTGAAAATGGTGGAAAATGTCAAAAGTGCGAAAATCAATCTTATCTTATCAAATACTAGCCACGCCTAGCCACTTTCTATTTTCTTAGAGGGTATATCATTTGCCAAAATCAGTCTTATCTTGGCAAATACTAACCCTGCCCACCCTCCCTCTAGTTTCTTGGGGCGTATGTCATTTGGCAAAATCAGTCTTACCTCAGCAAGTACTAGGCCCGCCCACCCCCCTCTTCTCATTCTGGCGACTAATTTTATTTCTGTTCAGTGTAAAAACATTCATTTCATTCAGATTGGATCAAATCAATCACTGAGAAGGAGACAGGGTGGGTGGGTGGGGCTAATTATGTTCTTCTGTCGGGTGGGAGTGGAAACTTATAAAAACTTATATAATAAACGACGCCGAAAATTACTGCTGGATAACGAAATCTACAAGAAAATGTCTTCAACTAACTTTCGAAAATAGTTGAAAAATGGTCGAAAATGTCAAAACTGCCAAAATCAGTTTTGTCTCATCAAATACTAGCCCCGCCCACCCACCCCCTATTTTCTTGGAGGGTATGTCAAACAAAAATTTTATACCGAGCAATTTTGACCGAACTTTAAAAATAACTGTATTTCAATTAGAGATTTTGGAAAAACGGTAGGAATTTCCGAAGAAGCGAAGCCGAAAATGACTTCTAGATATCGAAATTTACAAGAAAATGTTTTGAACTAATTTTCGGAAATAGTTGAAAAATGGTGGTAAATGTCAAAAATGCCAAAAACAGTCCTATCTTATCAAATACTAGCCTTGCCTACCCACTGTCTATTTTCTTAGAGGGTATATCATTTGTCAAAATCGGTCCTGTCTTAGCAAATACTATACCTATTAAGCTAATTAAAGCGTTGTAATAATCACTAGGTTTTCAGACGGGTGTTGGAGCCGAAACTGGGGTAAGCCAACCAACAGTATCAAATACAGTTAAGTTTGTAACTGACAAACTTATCGAAAAAACTTTTAATAATGATCACTGAATGCTTTGTGATAAACTGAGCAACAAACTCCAGCTCTTCACTCCGTTTGCTTTGACTTTTGTCATGTTCTCGGTCACTTTCACTTGCTACCTTCTGAACAGTCCGACATGATTACCAACAATCTATTTATTGGTTTATCCCTTTTATCTTTAGATAACGCAAAACTACGAAAAACCAGCCTTGTATCGCAACACAACATCTTCTTGTCCCCAAAAATCGTACTAAATGCCTTTTTCTAACAACAACGACAGTGCAAGTATTTTCTACAGTTTGGCAGTATCTATTTTAAGAAGTAGCATTTCTTCTGTTAATGTTATTAATGTGCATTTTAGTAGATTACATGCTAATGCTAAACAGTAGATGCTAATAGTGATCAGCATGTACTTAATAGTATGTACTCATTTTTATTAATTATAGCCAATAATAGTAAATATTGTTAGAAAAATTGGTCGAAAGTTATTTCGACAGGACTTCCCTCGCCCCCGAAGTGCAGTGTCACAAATCCCGCTTCTTTGACAAATTAAAAAATTTGATTGACATTTTTGAGATATCATGATACTGATAGGGAGATTTGGCTAATTTTTGTTAGCGTTTTATCATCTGCATGATCTGCACGATATTCCTAACATACATGTAAAATACAATCGGGTCGGTAGTTTTGGAGATTATCTGTTTAATAAAAATCTGAACAGACGGTACACAAACTGAGCCACGAGACCTAATCTTTCATACTCTATGGGTCATGAAATGTCGAGAAAACATAAAAAAGTAGCCAGTCGCCCCCCGATAGACTCGATTACAATACTTTCTTTGCTTACGCTCAGAAAGTAAAAATAAAATTCCCAAAATTAAATTTTACAATTTTTCGAAGACTTTGTATTTAATAGAACGTGTATTTCCACTTTCTGGGGACCATAATGTAAAACCATTATATTCTTTCCACTTATTGGAAGCTCCATCTGTAGTATTGCCAATAAAATTTTTAGCCTATTTTATTTTTTAATAATTAATTTTTTAATAATTAATTTTTTAATAATTGCAAAAAGTAATTGTAAAAGTGACTGAATTATTCAAAAAAAGTAATTCGTTGCAATTATTCATTACATTTTTTTAGAAGTAATGCTTTACAATTACTCATTACTTGAAAAGGAATTGAATTACAGTAATGAAGTACTTCTAATTGAATTACTTGTAATTGAATTACTTCCTACCATTGCATAAGATAACTTAACAATCCTAAAGCCACAAAAAATAAAGTATATTAAAAAATATACGTATACCGGGTGTCCCACGTAACACTTTCGGGCGCAATAACTCAGGTATTTTTGAACGAATTGTTATGAAATTTGAAATGTAGGTATTTGATAGGTGAGGATTAATATGAACCGGTGAAAATAATTATTATCTTGAAAAAGTAAATTTTCCATGCCTTAATTTACTTTTGCATCACATCATCAGCACATGAAAAATAAATACTGTATGCAAAAATTAATCTCCGAAATACGTCTGGTTAGGCAAAAAACGATAAATTATTGCGTAAATAATTCCAAAAAGTATAGGTAGCTATGAAACAAAAAACTGCGATCCTCGTATTTTGGACACCCTTGCGGGAATTTGAACACGCTTTCCGTATCTTGAAATAAGTTTATTAATCTCTGTACTTTGAATTTGGTAAATTCATCATCGGGATATCGTTCGATAAGAGTCCTGATTGTTTCATCTAGGTCTGTACGGCATTCTCCGTAGATTAAAATGATTTCTGTTTTAATAATTAAAGAAAAGCGAACCATTTTCAATAACTTGTCAGATTTTGATTTTCCCGGCTTCTCGACGGGTCAGCACGCCCCTGTATATTAGTCGTCACAAAATTTATGCAGAAGCTTGATAATTTGAAACGAAATTTTTTAATTTTTAAGTAACATATTTGGTAGTATAAAATAATTTAGTGGTGACATTTTCAATTTTTTATTTTTTTCTTCTACTTCCGGTTTGGTGGGAAATATACTGCGGTTAATTTTTTAAATGAGGCACCTTCTATTTTTTTTTAATTTGTGGGAGCAGAATAAAAATAATTGACTGTTCTGAGATTTTTTGTACACCTGTAAGTTTACGTTTCTGCAAATTTTTTTCGTTTCAGGTTTCAGCAGCTTACTTAGCATTCGAATACGAAGTATACGTATTTATCTAATTATAGTTGTTGCCATTATCTCATCTAGATGCCGTTTAGTTATAATACAGCCTCAAGTATTTTAATTGTCATAAATTTATATCTATCGTTGTTAATAGTTATTTATTAGATGCAATGTTCATCAAACGAGAATCAATTTCATTGTGACAAGTTTAAAGCCGCTTAACGTTCAAAGTGATAGAAAAACGATTAACCAATTCTCCGTACTTAAAGATCTGAAACAGGTAAAGAGCGCATTGTTAAGAAACGGGAAAATAGTACATTTCTGAATTCATGAGAATACGTACAACATACTTTTTATATTCAAGAGATCCTACCCTCTTGAACATAAAATAATGGTTTACTGCACTAGTTTTTCAACATACATAAAAACTTTTTCATTCATTTAAATACTTACTAATTCTCAACTAAGACTAGTTATAAATGTTGTTCGTGATGCGTTGGGCAGTAGTTTAGTAACAATATTTTTATCCCCCTTGTGACATAATTGTAAACAACACTATTAGGCAAGGTGCACATAAACAAGTATTACGGGTTGCCTGGCACTTAGAAAGTTTTGTTGCTTCAAACGAACATCAAAACATAACACTTCAATAAAAAACAAAATTTATTTTTTAATACTTTTATAATTAAACATATCGACAATACAAAAAACATACATACATTTTAGTTAAATTTTGTCACAACTGCCACATTAAATACAACCACAAAAATACTTGTACAGTTTTAAAAACTTCGAAATTAACCACTACAAATACCTACTAACAAATTATTTTTATTTGTACAAGAAAACGGCTGCAATTTTCCTAAATGTACTTCATAGCCACAACTTTCAGCATACAATCTCCTGTCAGTGTCAATAGCATCCATGCAAATAAATCCTTGTGTAGTTTTTCTGTTATTAGGATCGTGAGTTTGATCAGCCGCGTGAGCTAAAGTCAAGTAATCTTTATGATCCATGTTCAGGTTTTGATATTGAACACTTCTTGGGTACGTCAAATGGTAACAATCGTGAATTCCTCCATAACAACAAGGGCAACAAACAAAATGGGCTTTATTTTTTATACAGTTCTGAATGACTAAATCGGTGGCGACGCCACAAGCATGAAGAGAAACGCCGATGTCATAGGAACCAATAAAATAGTCCAAATTTGATTGTAAAATGATAATGTTGGTTAAATTCATTTTGAGTATGCGTTCTTTGGCTCTAACTAAAGAGAGTTCTTTATTTTCAACCAAAATGATGGTGCATTTTGGCAATAAATAAGCGAGAAGAATCCCTAGATGACCACTTCCACTACAAAAATCGACAATTCGGCACTCTTTTGAACCTACGAGTTTTATTACTGCTTTTGCGAGGTTTTCCAACTGATCGCACTTTCGGTAAGCCCGATTTTCTGGCAAAGCTCCACTCGTAGGATTTGCTTCTGATGGTATTTTAGACCAATCAAAGGGAACATCATCACCATAAGGGTACAAGGAATTCGCGATTTCTATGTGATTGTTATTAATAATCCTGAGGGAATTTGTGATGTCTTTTTGTTTAGTGTAAATACGTTTCTCTGGTTTATATCTTCCAGGATTAGCAGTGTACAAACTTTGTTTGACAATATCAGGTACAACTATAGTAGTCACATCATTCCCTAGCGCATCCAAAGAAAATTTCATTTTATTTACGTTTTTTTCTTTCATGGTATTAAACCAATTTATAGTTAGAGGTAGTTTTTCCCTTAGTCTATCTTCCGGACACAATGCGAGGAAAATTTCCGTACACGAAAATAATATAATATCTGACAAAGTCATAAAAGGTCCTTCTCCAAAAGTGTGGTGAAGATCCAACTTATCAATAGGAATGCTACTTTTGATTGCTTTATCATTGCTTTGTTCTCTGGCGACTTTATAAATGTTGTGCATCCGTACAGGTTGTCCCATGTGGTACTCAAACCTTGACATATCTTGAGGTAATTTCAACACGTTTCCGTCAAAATAACTCGACGGATTAAGAAGAATACTTTTTATGGTACTGACCATGTCAACCTCGCAAAATTTAGTCCAAATTGAGCTTTCACTGCACGCCATTAGACAAGCGTCTCGAAACCCAAGAAGCTTTTTTACTTTCTTGTGCTCTGAGTGTTTGATCATTTGTCGAGCTACTGAACACAAACCAGCAATAACATAATTATCCTGAACAATTACTGGCCACACACAATAACTTGCAACTTCCGGAAAAGTTTCAATTATCTCAAATGTGACCCGACTCATGTCTACTTTAATGAAAGCCCCTTTCGGCTCATCATCAAGTAGTTTGATGTTTAATTTTATATTTTCGTTTCCTGAAATTCTGTAAATGTTCAGGATAATTAGAGATTCGAGGTCTACATAAAAGTTGATTTTATCGAACTGGTACGCCGCGATATATAGATTATCCATTTTTTATATTATTAGTTACACACAATTGGCAATTTGTCTTTGTACTCTGTGAAGCATACGTGTATTGAGAACTTTTTTCCTGGCTGTTACGCACAACGTGGACGCAGCTGCCGTGATGAACATAAAAACCTCAAACCTCCAGAAAGCTCTCTCGTCCACGTACGCAGCTTTGTCACAACTTCTTGTAACAGTTTCACCACTGGCACATCGTAGAACTTCCTTAAAATGAGTGTGAACGCAAACTCCAATACTTTGACTAGCGATTTCAAATGCTGCAATTAAATTAGTTAATTTTCGCCGTTAAGCGAGTCGAAATTGTACCTGAGCACGGTTCACAGTCTTTGATGACTTCGTACTTTTCTTTTTCCCAGCAGGTCGAGTTCTGCTCAATTGGGAAAGTTCGTTTCCTGCTGGGGCTCGAACTTTCTGTCCAATGAGATTCAACGAATAAAACTAGAACTGTTAAACTAAAATTACGATGTGAAATTAGAATCTGCAGACAACATTAAGTTAGGTTAAGTTGTGATACGCACATTCCTAAAAACGTGATGCCGAGCAACATGCGTTTCTTTGGGCAGGATTCAATCATATTTGAGGTTTGAAAGGTGATATGCTCGGAGAAAAAGTTTGAGTTTCGCACTAGTAATTAAGGTTTTTCTTATTGAAACAAGTATTTTTTTATCACCATGTTGACATTCTGTCACTACGTTCGTACGTTTTGTGCTTGGGCGCCTGCGCAATATCTGACAATAGTGGTTTAGAGTAGCCAGTGGCGGAGAGGAAAAACATCCAACCAGGATTTCATATGGTTAAAAAAAAATAATAATGAAAATTTCGTTAATAGAAAACTAGTTTAGTATTAATCACAATACAAAAATAATTGCAAAATACGGTTTTTCTAGATAAAAAGCAAATTGATTCGTATTTAATTTCTAATCATTTAGTACAAGTCGTTTTAATTTTTTCTAAAAGACTTGTTATTTCTGAAATAATATTAACTGTTTGTAAAGTGAATAACAGATTCAATAGATGTTATTATGTTCAATAAAGGTGATAAACCGATTAGAACAATGTGCAGTTACTTTTTACTTTTACTTTTCGTTTCAATCATTTTTGGCGACGTTGAGGATAAATATAATTTTTGAATAAACTGAATCATAACTTTTTTGGAACTGGCTATGGATGTATACGTACCACAGTTGCTGAGATATGAACTGGCTGGCCCCGAAGCTTTTAACAACATATTATGAACTGGATTTTCAAACCTGTTTTTGTTTACTTATGGATAAAAAATATTTTATCTTGTAGAACATTTCGTACTTTTTGAGATAACATTTCTGTAGCATGGATATCACAATCGTATATTCTTAAAATACACTGACCGGCAAAAAAAACGACCACCCTGAAAAATTTCGCAAGACCACTTTAAAAATTATTAATTTAACTAGTGATCGTTATTTTATTAAAGAACCATTTACTATTGACACCTGTTGTACAAATCAGCAAAAAAAGAAGACATGTAAACGCAGAATTAAATTTAATTTTACAAAAGAACAGAAACAGACCAAGTACGATAATTAAAACAGTAAAGAAGGCTGTTGTTGTGAACAGTGTTTTTCATCGTTTGATTATAAGTTTTGTAGTTAATAAACGTTTTCATACGAAAACAAGGCCGTTAACTCTTAAAGACGTCTCTCAAATTGTCGCTCTGTTTCTGTTATTTTGTTAAATTAAATTTAATTCTGCGTTTATTTGTCTTTTTTTTTTGCTAATTTATACATTTTTAAAGTTTGGTTTTGCGAAATTTTTCAGGGTGGCCGGGTTTTTTTTGCCGGTCAGTGTATATTACCACGAGATTCAATTTTTTATCGGATAACTGATTGACCCAGACATTTTAGTGGCGTATAATTTACTATATAATTGTTTAAATTATTACATTATAAGTATGTCATGTTCTTTATCATCTTCTTTATCATAGCAATGTTTTGTTTATGTATGTTCCTACTGTTACTATTAATTTTTCATTTACACAAAGAATAAAACCAGTTAATGGACAAAGAAGCGCACCAAGCGCAATGCAATGTAGCAATGTGTTAAAAATTGTTTGACGGTTAAAACTCCAGGAACTATTTAAAACTGGGGTGAGTCCAGGGCAACTGATCAAAGATAACTGCTCCCGTTATTTATTTTGGGTTTAAATTAACTCCTTCAAATATTCTAGATTAGACAATCAAATTGTAATAGCGCCAAAAAAATAAATTGTTTGGCCTTAACACCATAAATAAAACAAGGATTCAATCTTAGTACTGGAACAATCGATACTCTTCATCTAGAGGACATCTCTTGAGGACTGGCAATAAGGGATTCTGTGGTCGAATGAATCTATTAATTTATATTCTACCGATGAAAACGAATATATATTGTTACGATTACCGGTGAATAAAATCGACGTGGGTAAAACTCAACAATTTATTTCTTAATAACCCGAATTACACTACTGATCATTACACAGCGATTATGTTCGAGAACGCCGCTTCGAGGGTTTTCTGGGTTGCCCATCGCGACTTCCGCGTCCGGGTTTTTCGTCAGCGAACACCACGCCGCCCGGCCGATGAGTCATCACCGCCGTACATACCGGAATAAACACATACATACTAGAAGACCCACAGGCGTCGTATCCGGGCGGCGTATGGGTTTCTTTTGTAACAATATGTTTGGCATGCAGTTAATCAAGAACAAGTCGATCATACATAACAGTTACGACAAAGTTTAATAGTTTAATGGCGAAGATAATATACACATTGGCTTTTACAAAATTAAATTTGTGTTACATATTGGTCACCTTAATTAGAAGATTTAATGCAACAGAAAATTTTTGGTGACAAATACGAAAAAAAGGAAAAAATATCAGAACGCTTCCGAGGTTTTTTAAAGCTGTTCAAGACAGTCAACGTAGTGAGAAACTTAATTAATGGAAGAATTTATAACTTCGATGCCAAAACTACATCAAGCAGGAAGACATGTGTAGTATTATTTGCCAAAATTAAAAATTAACATTACCTGTTCATTTCAGTTGTTAGAAAAATTGATCTAAAATCATCGAGGCAGAACTTCAAACAAAAAAAAGTCGACAAGAAAGGGGATCCATCTAACGCTAGCAGAAGTCAAGTTCTCTATATAGAAATCCACACGTCCACCGGCAGTCGTTATGCGCGAACTGGCGAAACTCAAATTTCAACTGTGCGCACACACATTTTTGCAAACTAATTGTGATAAAAATCAAGGTAGACTCATAAACCACAAATATAGGAGTATGTTATGTTATAAAATGTAAAGATGAGTTACTATGAAAAAAAAAGGTTACGTCATTTGACTGTTGGTGGACACAATTAGATAAATTTTATTGATTAAATCAAGAACGGCTCACTCCATTTTCTCAAAATTTGTGATGTTGATTACATTATCACAAATTTTTGTACTGGCAAAAGTCACTTAACAGATATACGTAGTACCTTTTTTACATTTACTTTATCACCGCATAGATATCTTTATGTTAACTTGATAGGGGTTCCTATGAAAAAATAAAATTCGCAAAGTCAAATTTTATCAGTTTTCGAAAAAGCTAGGTATGTTTTATTGTATGTACCTACTTCAGGGACGAGGAAATAATAACGAGAGGGACGAAAAAATAGGTACTAAAATTCCTTCAGTTAACTTACTAATAACTTAAAAAAAAGAATGATCTTATCTTAATTTCCCAATGGGACCCGAAACGATCTACAGGATGTTACAATTGCAAATGCATTAAATATTCCTAAAAATATAACAAACGCGTAAAAATGATATACTCCTATGTAAATATTGGATAACAGCATCTTTTTACTTTCACAGCGTAAACTCAGTACGAAACAATATGTCTCCTGTTTCCGTCTGTCTGTCTGTCTGTCTGTCGGCCATCTGTCAGGATTATTATTACACAAATAATCTCCGAAACTACTGAACCAGTTGTCAAATCGGCTAATGATCTCTATCAACAATTTGTTGACGTCATCGCCAAAATTTACAGTAGCAAATATTGTTTAAATTTTATAAAATAAGATAATGATGCACATGTGGTTATGAACCCCGGTTGAGTTTTTATCCTAAACATCCAGATTTTTGGAGAAAAAAATCAAAATTGCAACATCTTGTAATTTAACTTGGTATTTAAGCTATTTTTTTAATCAGTTTTCCATCTATTTTAAGGTACTTAAAATAGAAGGTCAATTTTTGTCGTGAATTTTTTTAATATATTTTTTTTACATTTCACCCTATTTTCATGATTCCAACGAATCCATACAGAAACCGCCGACTTTGCGATTTTTATAAACAAATTAAAAAAAAACGCTTCAACGACAAAACTGATCTAAAGCACCTTATAATAAATAAAAAAAAAACAAAATGTGGGGTGAAACGTACCATTTTACCTACTACTAATTTGTCCCTTTTTTTGGCATACTTATATTATTTTATTGGATTGGATATTCCTAGATGTGTGATTTATGAATCGTGTCGAGTTTTCACTTATAATAATTTTATAGAATTACATAGTCTATGTATGTGTAATTTAAAATCCGTGTTGAATTTTTACCCTAGACATCGAGATTTTTGGGAAAAAATTCAAAATTGTATTTTACAATTTAACTTTAAAATTGCAAAAGTGAATGTACTGAAATATTGCAAACGCTTTAAGTTTATAGAAATATAGATGATAAATCGTTAATCAAAATTGTTTCGATTAAGTTCTTCCCAAAAAATCATGATGTTATTTTGATAATCTTGCCGAACAAATAAATGTCCTCTAAATTTTATAAAATAACATAGACCTGCAGGTGTTGTGTAGTGTAATTTATGAAATCGTGTTGACTGCTTATCCTTAGCATCCAGATTTTTTGACAAAAAATCAACATGGTATAACAATATTATATAATTGAACTTTGAAATTGCAAAAACCGAGTACCGTGAAATTCTGCAATTATTGTTTGAAAATTTTTTTAGTAAGTAGTTTTGTTTTTCTTGGTAGCCTCATCAAAATTCCAAAAACAACATCATTTTTTCAAAACACCAATGTCGCCGGCAAAACTGAAAAAAATAATAGTAATAATACCCAAACAACACCTGCATATAATACCACAGGGCCGCATTTTCTAAATTTCCCGGTGAACCACATGTCCTCAATCCGACACTGTTATATCTTATTTATGAAATAATAATTTTAATTAAAGACCAGGCGCGGATCCAGGGGGGGGCAATGGGTGCAATTGCCCCCCCCCCTGACACACGACCGAGGTCCTTTATTTTGACCAATTTCAAAATTTTGAAATCATATTTCATTTTGTAAATACAGTACAACCTCTATAATCCGAACTCACGATTCTCTCAACATCCAGTAATCCGAACAGAGGCTATTTGAAGTCGATGCCTCTTTAATCCGAACAAAAACTCTGCAATCCGGTCTGAACTTGAAAACATGCATCCACTTCCAAAAATGACGCAAGATCTTTCTGCATATGTTGTATGGAATATTTTGAAATTGTTAAAAATTGCGATATTTCAAAGCACTGAATTAATTAACTAATTTTGGAAAAACGGATGAAGTTATCGGAGACCCGAAATCTACAAGAGAAAGTATTTAGTTAAATTTCGAAAATTGTCGAAAATGGGTCGAAATTTGCATGAGAAAAATTTCATTTTACGAAAAAATTTTCTAAAAATTCTGAAAAAATTCAGAGATATTATATCCCGACGTGCTGATTCCAAAAATATACCATGTTTATGGTAACGAAGCAATATTTTCGGAAAATTCGCTGTGAAATTCGAATTTTTCGAAATTTTTAAAAATTGCGATATTTCAACGATTCTGGAAAAATGGTTTAAGTTATCGAAGAAATGAAGCCAGAAATGACTTCTGCGGTCCAAAATCTACTAGAAAATATATTTATTTCGAAAATCGTCGAGAATGGGTCGAAATTTGCATAATGGAGGTAATAATGGAAAATTTCATTTTTGAAAAATTCATCTAAAAATTCTGAAATATTTCAGGGTATGTATAGATCCCGCAATGTTTATTCCAAAAGATAGCGTGTTTATTGTCACGGAGTAATATTTTTTTAGAATGTATCTATTATCCATTGTTGCTTAAGAATTCTTTAATTTTTGTTTAATAAAATTTAGGTTTATTTCTTGAAGTTTGTTTTCAGTTGTGTATGAAGTTGTTAATCAATTCCCTTTCAGATTTTTGGGAAAATTGCTGATCCAAACAAATCGTTAATCCGAACACACCTTTTCCCAATTAATTAGGATTATCGAGGTTCTACTGTACACTATACGTGTAATGAAAAGAACCAAATGTCACTCATGTTATGTGAAAAAGAGTATACTAGCTAAAATTTTATAAATTTTCTTATTTAGAACGAATTTCTGGCAGATAGGTAAAATTGCACAAAAATTGCCCCCCCCTGAACGAAATCCTGTATCCGCGCCTGTTAAAGACACAGTAGGTATAGCAGGTTGGCGTTTAAATAAGGACAAGAAATACATATGTTAAAGAAGCAGTAGATGAAGTAAAGTAAAAAGAATTCGATATAACATTTAGTGTGAAAGAAATTCTTATTCAGTTATCAATTTTTGTATACATGAAAAGAAATTCATCACTTAGAATATCGGAATTTTAAAAACCTTACATCTACATGTCATTGTAAAAATAGATGTTAAAATGAGGCTGTATTGTTGACCGGCAATTCGATCGGCCAGTCGTTTCGTCGGCAGGTGAAAAAAACCTTATTTTACATATAGTTTAATGAAATCTTTATTGTAATCAGAATCAGACACTAAATAAAACGGTTTATAAACAATTAATAATATATAATTTAAATATTCTTAAGGAAAATATTAAAAAAAAAGTCAGTAAATTCCTAATATACATACCTACAAAATTTGACAACAGTCGGTCAAGTAGTTTCGGAGATTACGTGTCTAATAAAAATGGATATAGGCACCAGAGAGATGGAAACGAGAGACCACTTTTTTCGTACTGTAGGGGTCTAGAACTAACCATCCGTCGGACGGACCCTATTACAGCACCTACTTCCCTAGCTCGGGAAGTAAAAATTTATCAGGACATTCCTGAACAAACTGTGTTAATGCAGTCTTTATAGGTAGTTGGTTGTTTATTTTGCAATAATTTGCTGACCATGTTATTAAGCATTTCGGCGAACCTCAACTCTGGTCTAGGACGGGCGTTTACTAATCCGGCACTTTGACTCGGTTCGCAGTCATTTACACCCATTTAAGTATAGCATTAACCCCAGGCCGGCAAACCTCTGATTCTACTTATTTTTTTTATTTTAGAATCAGAATGAAAAATAAGGTACTTGGTTCCAATTATGCTGATTTAATGCAGAAACACTTTCGACTCATTTTGGATTAGGTGATGAAAAATTATTTTAATAATTTATACAATATTAGTATGCATGAAGTTACTACATTTTACAGGTTCTGTAATACTAAAAGCAGCAAGTTGTATAATATAAATTATAGGTTATAACATAATCTACATACATATATAAAAGGAAATATTCCGATTAGGCCCTATCAACGCCCAACCCAAACCGCTAATGATAGACATTTGAAATTTGGAAAAGATATTCATTTTATACTAGAGGCATCATTTAAGAAGGGATTTCTCGAAATCCATCCCCTAAGGGGGTAAAATTTGTATAGAACCAATATTTCTACTGTAAATTTACAACTTCGGTTTTTCCAAACCTTGCATTTGCGAGCAACGAACATTTTAAACTTATACCCCTAAACAGATACGTTAGTGCATAACTCCAACTGGCATTGTTTTTTGTACTAACTCCTTGGAATGTTAAAATTAAGAAAAAAGTAAGAACTAGATACGTGATTTTGTTTTCGAAGCATATTTTTTCATTAGGCTAGTCCAGTCCTCTTGGTATATTTACAATTTTTTAAATTCAAATTCTGGTAATGTTTTTAAACTCAGTTCGTTAAATAGAATATTTCTTGGTTAGAGTTTCTTTATTGAATGTTGACAATCTTGTACCAAAGAAACAACGCATATTCCTTTATGCAATTAATAGTGTTTCTAGTAACATCTAGTTGATTTTGTCTCTTTGCGGAACTTTTGGTCATCATTTAGCACATTGTCGCGTTGTTGACAGTCAACAGATCAATTTGAAGCTCCATTATTAGGTCTGACATTAGTCTCGAGATAAATATTTACACCGTTATATTAAACGTTCAATTTACTTCAGTTTCAAAATTCAAAAATGTGGCGCACTAAGAGATCTTCCTACAAACGTGATACGTTACGATTTATTAGTTGCTTAAGGACAGTCATTTAAAATACTGAAGATGAAAATTTAACCAAGCACACACTGTAATAATAGTTTTAGTTTTCTATCTTTCGGTAATGTAGAAATGAATTTTGACGATGAGTCACAGATTAAACAAAAATTTGAAATTCTAATTTAAATTTACGTATGGGTTTTTTGAAATCGTAAGCATTCATCAAAAATCACATGCTAGTGCAGTGAACATCATCTAGTACTCTACTGCAAAAAAGTATGGAATCGTAGAACGGTAGGTACCACTAAGTGATAACTGCTAAAATTAACAAACTTGCGTAGAGGCAAAACACTGAAACAATGGTTTAGTTTAACCACAGAAATACCTCTCGATGGTAAACATTTTAATTTTCACCATGGTGATGGTGGTATAAATAAAGTTCGTATTGGTTAAAAATATCTTCTGACGGTTTGTTTTCAAAAACAGTTTTATATCAAACAGAAAATATAATATACATAAATAACAAAAATAGAACTATGATATTTTAATAAATAAAAAAAATAATAGAAACATAATATTGGCTAACTTAATAGCTTAAATAAACATCGTTGTTTTTTTCTAAAATTATCAAAATGTAACAAATATGGACACATTTTTACTAAAAAATAGTTGTTATTTTAAAATATGTTTAGTATCAGTGCTAATAAATAATATATTTTTGGAAGTGTGAACAATGTCTACCCACGTATTTTGGGACTCTACGTATACTGCAGGTCAAATCCAACACAAACAAATTAGAGTTGTGAATATTTAAGCTTAATATTCTCCAATTTTAGAACTATCCATGGATAGATTTTCAAATTCAAATTGTTGTTATGCAACATATCAACCCATTTAACAAAATTATTTAAATAAATACACTATAGAGGCGAGAGCTAAAGCGTTTTTACGGAAAAGGTGTGCAATTAAATTTGGTGGAGGCAAATTTTTACCTCACTGGCAATTTAATTAGTACCTACATAAATCATGTAGCGGGTTATAATGCGTGGTAACATTTCACTGTGCCGTTAAATTAGACTTTTCAACATTTAAACATAAATTATAATTTTTATATTTTTTATAGTAGCTACAGATTTGAATTATTTAAGGATTGTTGTAATAATTTTCTGCTTTGCTAAAATAGGATAATGAGTTAAATTAATCTTAATATAAATACTATTACATATATGGGTCTGTTCAGAAAATGGGATTTTAAGTACAAAATCAATAGATTTTACAATTAAAAAAAAATTAAATAAATTCTTGACAAAAAAGTATGTTATAATAAAATTATTTGACACATCCAACTTTTGAGATATGTTATTCAGAAAAGAAAAAGGAAAACCTTTTTGTTACAAAATGATTTTTAAACTCAAAATCATCAGTAGGTTTTATGATTATTTGACTATGGGGATCTATTGAGTACAAAATGACTTTAGGTGTAAAATCTATCGATTTCATAATTATTAAGATATATTTTTAAAATTAAAATTATAAAGACTTTGCCCTGTTTTTAAAGTATATTAAAAAAAAAATAAAATTCGTTTTGGGCTCATGAAGCTGTGCTGAATTTCAAGGTTTTACAGCCTGTTTTAATTTAAAAAAATTGGTCTAAAGAGTTTAGACAGTACTTCCCTCGCTGTCGGAAACTTGACGACTGCATGCCTATTGTGTTTTTTTTTCTCATTACATTTTTGTAGTGGAAATTTAAAAAAAAAATGTGATGACGTCATCAACATTTTTGCAAGGACACGTATATCAGTTGGGATAGATGTAGTGTAATACTAAGAATAAAATTATTGTATTCCCAAATTTTCAGGAAAATGAATTGGGTCGTTTTGAATATTGATTTGTTATAATCAATAAAATAACGAAATAATTTACTCACGTATACGGCGCCGGTGTGTAATATCTAGAGAGCGGATTTCTGTCGGGCTAGGCAAGGCCAAACTCGGTACGGCTCGTACGGGATACGAATTCATTGCGGTTGCGGACTGCACTTCGTTTATTTGAGATTAGAATAACGCTGTTTCGTTGCACTCTGCTGTTAATTCCCGTTCTCATTTACTTAGCCGTTTGATTAATAAATCGTTAATTATATTTATGGAATTAGTACTGATTAAATTCAGTGATTATCTATCACCCGCTACTGAGTCCCGGCGATCCAGCGCGTCCCCACCTATAATCGTGACGTGGCCCGACAAAAATCCGCTGTCTAGTAATATGAAGGGCAACTGAAAATCGTTTATGTACAAACATTCTTAATTTAAGATGACAAGCGTAACAGCATACGTGAGAGTCAAACAGAGAAACTGTAAACAAAACGACCATCGGTTTTATTGCTTCGACTTCCGCTTATTATATAAAACATTGGGTTTTATTTTAATTCTTGACGGTGAAATTCACAATTGGTTGATTATAAACATATCTATTTCACATTCGCGGAACCAAGTGAGCGCATAAAACAAATGCAGGTATGTAATGTTAAAGTCGATGTAAATAAGCGTGCTACCCTTATGTTTCAACCGAGTTTTTCCTTTAACAAATTTTGTGTCTACCAAATTGGGTTGGTTGGGGTGTAATACTAATAATAAGTGTTGCCTTTAATTTAATCAATAAAATAAATTGACTTCATTAATTTTTTTGAACCACCTCTTAAGAAAATCTAAAAAATATGAATGGAATGATAAATCACAAGTACAAACTCATCATATTTTTTGCATTTTAGATAGGATTTATTCAGCAAAATTTAAGGGTGACGTCATCAATTTTTTTAGGAGGGATGAACAAATACATTTTGAACAAAAGTTTACCATGCCTATAACTTTAAAATATTCCCAAGATTTCAAAGCATTCGGTTTTGTAATTCCTGATTAAATCGATAAAATAAATTCACGCCTTCATTAATTTTTTTGAGTCACCCTGCATATGCAAATCCAAAAAATATGAATGGAGTGATAAATTACAAGTACAGACTCATCATATTTTTACAGTTTGGATAGGATTTATTCGGCAAACTTTCGAGCTGACGTCATCAAGTTTTTGGAGGGGATAAGCAAATATATTTTGACTAAACATTTATTATGCTCTTTATGACCTTAAAACATCTGCAAGATTTCAGAGCATTCGGTTTTGTAGTTCCTGATTAAATCAATAAAATATATTTACGCATTCATTAATTTTTTTGAGTCACCCTGTATATGCAAATCCAAAAAATATGAATGGAGTGATAAATTACAAGTACAGACTCATCATATTTTTACAGTTTGGATAGGATTTATTCGGCAAACTTTCGAGCTGACGTCATCAATTTTTTGGAGGGGATAAGCAAATATATTTTGACTAAACATTTATTATGCTCTTTATAACCTTAAAACATCTGCAAGATTTCAAAGCATTCGGTTTTGTAGTTTTTGAGTAAATCAGTAAAATAAATTTACGCATTCATTAATTTTTTTGAGTAACCCTGTATATGCAAATCCAAAAAATATGAATGGAGTGATAGATCACAAGTACAGACTCATCATATTTTGTACATTTTAGATATGATTTATTCCACAAACTTTTGAGCTGACGTCATCAAGTTTTTGGAGGGGATAAGCAAATATTTTTTGACTAAAGATTTATGATGCTCTTTATAGCCTTAAAACATCTGCAACATTTCAAAGCATTCTGGTTAGCAGATTAAAAATTAAATTTCAAAATGTTGTTTTATAATTTTGATTTTTTTTCCAAAAATCTGGACGTTTCGGGTGAAAAGTCGATTCAGAGTTGTAAACTACATGTGTAGGACTATGTTATTTTATACAATTGAAAACCCATTTACTATGTACAATTTTGAAGTGACGTCATCGCATTAGTGGTGGGGATGATTAGACAAATTTTGGTTAGCGTTTTACCATCTACATGATATTCTTAATATAAGTACAAAATTTCACAACAATCGGTCGAGTACTTTCGGAGATTATCTGTCTAATAAAAATCCGGGACGGCAGACGGACGGACAGACGGACGGACAGACGGACAGACGGACAGACGGACAGACGGACAGACGGACAGACGGACAGACGGACAGACAGACGGAAATGGGAGACCTATTTCTTCGTCTTCTAGGGGTCATGAAAGATCGAGAAAACGTAAAAGTAGAGAGTCGGCCGACGGACTCGATTACAATACTTCCTTTGCTTACGCTCGGGAAGTAAAAATCAGTTAATGAATGCAATTATTTTCAATACCAAATTAAGTTCATTTCTTTCTGATTTAAGATTTAGAAAGGAACTACATATTTAATAATAACATTTAATAACAACATAAATATTGGTTCATAGACTTTTTTTGGTTTATTCAAGTTCCGACAGATTGTCTTATTCAAGGAAATTGTGCGCTCATCCAGTTTTTCTAGCTCCGGAATCACTCGACTCAGTGTAACCAAAAAAAATTAATCTACGAATAAATGTTAATTATAAATATAGCAATTTGCAGTGAAATTATTTTCATTCTTGTTCTTCAGTACAACCTCCTTTTACTGTATCTAGGTAGGTAGGTACGATTTATAGGGTTTTGTAAGCTGAAAGCAGTGGTGAAAACCGCGTTCCGAAATTTTCATAAATATGAATTAATATATTGATTTTTAAGTATACATGATGCAAAATTTCACCACAATTAAAGAAAAAGTATGGTAATAAACATTTAAGAACTGCCCTTGCCTTATATAGAGAAAGTTGTGGGTATGTTTTATGTAAAATTTCATAACAATAAGTCTATTAATACGGGACATATCATTTTTAACAATTAATTGTTCAAAAGCTTTACCCATTATCACTGCGTAACGGTTGGAGTATTTTCTTATTATTTGTTAGTTTTTGGTAATACATTGTTAATAGAGTTTGTGACATTTCAATAAGAACTTTGTGGTTGACATTTACAACCACTGGTAAATTTCTTTAAAGATTATCTCACAGTTTCAAGAATAGTGATTCAAGGAATTAAATCACGCTAATTAAACACACAGCAGCTGTGAAAGCAAATCTTAATTTAAATTATTTTTAGCTTTCTTCGAATTATTAACAAACTATTCTCTCCTAATAATGTAATTTATAAAACATCTAAAAATTATATTTTAAGCCACTTAAAAATACTGATGACACTAACATTTTATCAAAGCCTTATCATTATCACATAGAAAAATCATGACTGGCAATTCTCCATTGCCGCAACACTATGCAATCTATGACTAACTCATACCTTGAAGGTTCTAGAACTTTACATAACATTTTTCTGAAACGGAGTCACAAGGGCCGTCTCACACTTTTCTTGAGTGTTCGCCGCCTCTTGTAGAACCAAATCATTATCACTGCCAGATAAAGCCAACAAAATATTAATTATTGCACATTAGCAACTTCATTTGCGTAAGCAAATTCATATAAATACGGAACCGTCTTTCAGAAGCGACAATATTTGATAACCGTTCAAGCAATTAAGAGCTTCAAGAGCAACATGAAGAGTTTAGTCGTCTTCAGTATTTTATGTATCGTTGCCGCAGTCCAGGCTAGGTCGTTCTTGATCATAAGGGATGACGAAGTTGCCCTTCCTGCTTCAGAGAAGATATCGAAGAGATCACTGTTTGAGCAACTAGGTGATGAAGAAATATACGAGGGTGAGCAAATTACGTCTTCACAAGAAAATGGAGACCTGAAAACAGTCAGTGATGAAGATAACGAAGAAGAAGTAGTGGATTCGTCGGAAAAAAATGAAGATTTGAGAATCGACAAACGATCGGTTAGTGGACTGTACGACAACGTGGACGACATGAGGTTCAGGTTTTTCCGTAAGGGCCTTATTCGAGAGCGATTCTAACAACCCTGGACATCGTACTCATCTACATTTTGGATATTTAACCACTGTCATCTTCGTTATAATTAGTGTTTAATTTATTCGTATGTTGTAAGACTGATTATGTTTATATTTTTTTATCATTTGTTTTAATAAATTGTGTAAATGTAATCTACTCCTTTATTATTTTTAATCACTGGGAGACTGATAAACGAACTGCCTGTCTTACCAAGCACAACGCTGTCTAAGTGAGAAAAAGATTAGTGTGTTTACTCACAGATTTATTTTTAAAACCTTTATTAAATCTAATTTTAACAAATTCTTATATTAAATAACTTATTTAAATATGGTCAGGAAGCGCGTGTCATTCTTTTAACACATATCCCCAACAAAAATGGCGCGCTTCTTTATTTAATTTACAAAATTAGACTCTTGAAATGTTTTTAACGAAAGTTGTTGGTCTCTGCGTAAACAAATCTATTTCAAGAGCAAATTAAAGTCACGTGAAAATAAGACGCAAATGTAGGGTTTGTGTGTACTTTTCTAAATTACATAAATGTTATTACTTTCCACTTTGTTTTGAATTTGTTAACTTACTGGTTATTTGACATTGGCGGAAGTAGGTGAAGGGTATGTGGAAGTAATATTAGAACTTATACTTATTGTTAAAGCGATATCATGTGCTGTTTGTCTGACAAAAATGTTCAAGCGTGAGTCATCTATTGAGACGTCTTAGATAATTTTTTCTGCAAACTGTAATTTTTCTCATAGTGACAAGCATGCTATTGACATTTGTAAAAATAGTGACTGTGGACTTATGTGTTACTACATGTAGTAAAATATCGAATTCTTTAAATTCATGACCATGTTAATCATTAGCCAAATGTGTTTAAAAAGCAATGACTTAAGTATAAGTGATGGATTATATTTGAGTTTCATCTGAATTTTAAATATACTCTTCTGAGTAACGAGTAGTTAGTCAATAAGTAAATAACTTATTAATAGAGCAAAAAACTTTTCTGACACACAACTTTAATAAACTGTTTGCTTGTATACTTAATTTCATCAACACAAATTACTTTTTAATACAAACCATTAGCTACCATCTCTTTGTTTCCCAGCCACTGGCTCTCGTTTTATTTGAGATATTAACACGGTTAAATAAATGACAAGTTAAGTAGTAGAAAAAGAAAACCAATTTTGAACATAAAAAAAATTGAAAGTTGAGGTATCTAAGTTGAGGTTCCCTCACCTTCGACGCAGAAGCAGTACTCTACTGCGGTATGAACAACTTTGCACATTTTATATTTTACTTATGGAATTATTAAATTTATGGATGACAGAATATTTTTGGTCAAGGATTAGTTAAGAAACCAATATTCGTCATGAAGGAATATCTCTCCATCGGTTTTCTGCAGGAAGAAAAAATATGTTGTAATTAATCTCCTTTATTTCATAAAACTGCATAAATTGTTGTAAATTTTCTCAAACAGTGTATTAATAATGTTTATTCTTTTGACACATAAGCATCAAATAAATCTGAAGTTTTAAATCACAAATAAAAAGACATTTAAAAATATACCTTTGATTTAAGCTGTATTAACGAATATCATCTTATAGATAAATATTATAGTAGATAATGTATGTACAATGTAACACTCTACAGAACCCTATTGTGTGTCAAGAATTAAAGGGCAACTAAATCAATGTTAATGTTTTGCCACAAATTTAAACAACTTCATTTCATAATCTTCATTCGAAAGGGTGTGGTAATTCAAATATCCCGCCAAAATTTGACATGTGAACAAAATTTTAAACCCCGCGAAGAATTCAAAATTTGGCCTTGAACTGTGATCGTGAACGACGATGGAACCCTACGTTGTGTTTTTTTTTTAATGGCGGAATGCGTTCAAATGCACAGTGCTGAACTCCAAGATTGGAAAAGTGTTCCTAAATCAAACACAAAATATGGAAATAAAAATCGTTTATTCCTCCCTTACCTAGATCATATAATAAATTATCATCGATCAGTAAAAATTATATGATCTAAGATTCCTCCAATCTGGAGAAGTAAAAACAATTGCGAAATAAGCCGACTTTAAGTAGGGGAATTTATTCCGCAATTGAAAAATTCTCTCCAACCTTTAACAACGAAATTAAATGTTACAAATTAATGTAGATATTTGAATATCACCAATTTAAAAAAAGAAGTGGAAGAGATATTGATGACGCCGATGTGCGTCAATGAAACCACCACTGTTTTTGACTAACAGATATATTTACAACACAAAACATAACAGATAAACATGGCTTGATACTCGCTCGAGAGATCATTATTGGCTCTCTGGGTAACTACCCTAAAAAATATTGGTGGTGCCGTTTTTGGGTGAGCGAACGCCGCTTCTAGGTTTTTTCTAGACCCCGCAATCGAGACTTTCGGTAGTCGCCTCCAGATTTGTCTTTATGCTAACGCGGCATTCCAACCTATAATTTGCGAAATACCTGTATGAGAATAGTTCACTATGACGTTTCACTAAGTGGTTTTATTTTAGAGTTGAGTGTTTAATCACGTAATGTTTAAATGATATGTTATAATAAGTTCCAGTGTAAATAAATTTGCTGACGTAGCATTTAAAATTTCAACTGCTTGGCACCAGTGTGTTAATGTAACCGTGTTAAAAATATATATCATGTGACAGTTAAGAATTTTTTTTATAGTACAATGGAGGCGCTGAATTTTTAGATAACCCAATCGCCATAACTCGGTTATTTCTACTGATATATGCTACTCTATTTGTTATTAAATGTAGCTTTTACTTAGTGAGATATCTTAAATAATAAAAAAGTTATTTCAAACAATCTGGCATCCACATTTTGCAAACCATGTTGAAATTATTAATTGAGAAACATCAATAAAAAAATGGCACATTTTAAAATGAAAAACTAATAAATTGGTATCTTTGAAAAATATGAAAAAGTATGTAAAAGTTTCGAGAATTCTTACTGAATAACTAAACACGACAGGATGTCAAGTCAAGTTATACAGGGACATTTTTTAACTCTGAACATACACCATAAAATCCCTATGTTCAATCTGAAAAAAAACACATCAATGTATTGTAAGTATTCAACCAGTATTACATGAAACCTACGTGATAATTAGAAAAAAAAAGATTTAAACTTGTCAGCTTGTCCAAATATAATCTGAAAATTTGTTTGTAAAATTCGGTTGTTAATTGTTCTAGTTTTCCACATTCATTTGGGTTTGGAAAAGTGAAATTGTACGTGATCTTTTTTCAGTCAATTGTGCCAACTGGAATAATTTATGTTATTGCAAAATTTAACATCCACGGATGCGTCGAATATAAACATCGCTAGAGAAACAGATCAAATTATGTCCTAACTGAAGAAGTATACAATTAAACATATTGTTATTCCGAAGAGAATCCATTCATTAACCAAAACAAGCAACTCTTCAATTCCCAAAGTTTTAAAACAGTTTAAATACAAAAATGTTATAAATTCACAAATCATCAACAACTAAGTTCAGAAGTATATAAAATTAAAAGAACGGACTTTTGAGAAACAGTATTTAATTTAAGAAACAATAATAAAAACATTTTACAAAACATCGTATTTACAGAAGAAACATCATTATCATTAGACGGTGAAGTCTATTCCCAAAATTATCGGTTAGTACTGTTAATTCCCTTGTCCCGTCATATCTTTTTTCTATCTTTACAGATATTGGTCAAATACTAATCCTCGTCTGCAAAATTTGACAAGAGCACAATATAACCGTAGGGCTAATATGGTGAGAAGAATTATAAACCAAATCTTAAACCTGGTCCATTTTTTATTGAAGAAAATTTGAATTCCTTTTTAAGACTGCTTCGTTACCACATAGTGCCCCAAATTCAAAACTTAATTATTAATGATGTTTGGTTTCAAATGGATGGAACTCCCCCACATATAACTGCAATAACACATTATTTACACGAAAATTTTTAGAGCAATTGACCAAAAAAATAATCCGTACCTACCCACAATTCGAATGATTGCATGGCGATAGTACCAATTTAATATTTTTACTTTTTACTTCCCGAGCGTAAGCAAAGGAAGTATTGTAATCGAGTCCGTCGGCCGACTCTCTACTTTTACGTTTTCTCGATCTTTCATGACCCCTAGAAGACGAAGAAATAGGTCTCCCATTTCCGTCTGTCTGTCCGTCCGTCTGTCCGTCCGTCTGTCCGTCCGTCTGTCCGTCCGTCTGTCCGTCCGTCTGTCCGTCTGTTGTCCCGGATTTTTATTAGACAGATAATCTCCGAAAGTACTCGACCGATTGTTGTGAAATTTTGTACTTATATTAAGAATATCATGTAGATGGTAAAACGCTAACCAAAATTTGTCTAATCATCCCCACCACTAATGCGATGACGTCACTTCAAAATTGTACATAGTAAATGGGTTTTCAATTGTATAAAATAACATAGTCCTACACATGTAGTTTACAACTCTGAATCGACTTTTCACCCGAAACGTCCAGATTTTTGGAAAAAAAATCAAAATTATAAAACAACATTTTGAAATTTAATTTTTAATCTGCTAACCAGAACGCTTTGAAATGTTGCAGATGTTTTAAGGCTATAAAGAGCATCATAAATCTTTAGTCAAAAAATATTTGCTTATCCCCTCCAAAAACTTGATGACGTCAGCTCAAAAGTTTGTGGAATAAATCATATCTAAAATGTACAAAATATGATGAGTCTGTACTTGTGATCTATCACTCCATTCATATTTTTTAGATTTGCATATACAGGGTGACTCAAAAAAATTAATGAATGCGTAAATATATTTTATTGATTTAATCAGGAACTACAAAACCGAATGCTCTGACATCTTGCAGATGTTTTAAGGTTATAAAGAGCATAATAAATGTTTAGTCAAAATATATTTGCTTATCCCCTCCAAAAACTTGATGACGTCAGCTCGAAAATTTGCCGAATAAATCATATCTAAAATGTACAAAATATGATCAGTCTGTACTTGTGATCTATCACTCCATTCATATTTTTTGGATTTGCATATACGGGGTGATTCAAGAAAATAAATGAAAGCGTAAATTTATTTTACTGATTTACTCAGGAACTACAAAACCGAATGCTTCGAAATCTTGAAGATATTTTAAAATTATCATAAGCATGGTAAATTTTTGATCAAAACGTATTTGGTCGTCCCCCCTAAAAAATGTATGACGTCACCACAAAATTTTGCTGAATAAATCCTATCTAAAATGTACAAAATATGGTGAGTCTCTTCTTGTGATTTATCATTCCATTCAAATTTTTTCGATTTGCATATACAGGGTGACTCAAAAAAATTAATGAATGCGTAAATTTATTTTATTGATTTAATCAGGAACTACAAAACCGAATGCTTTGAAATCTTGCAGATGTTTTAAGGTTATAAAGAGCATAATAAATTTTTAGTCAAAATATATTTGGTTATCTTCTACAAAAAACTGATGACGTCAGCTCAAAAGTTTGCCGAATAAATCGTATCTAAAATGTACAAAATATGATGAGTCTGTACTTGTGATTTATCATTCCATTCATATTTTTGGATTTGCATATGCAGGGTGACTCAAAAAAATTAATGAAGGCGTGAATTTATTTTATCGATTTAATCAGGAATTACAAAACCGAATGCTTTGAAATCTTGGGAATATTTTAAAGTTATTATAAGCATGGTAAACTTTTGTTCAAAATGTATTTGTTTATCCCTCCTAAAAAAATTGATGACGTCACCCTTAAATTTTGCTGAATAAATCCTATCTAAAATGCAAAAAATATGATGAGTTTGTACTTGTGATTTATCATTCCATTCATATTTTTTAGATTTTCTTAAGAGGTGGTTCAAAAAAATTAATGAAGTCAATTTATTTTATTGATTAAATTAAAGGCAACACTTATTATTAGTATTACACCCCAACCAACCCAATTTGGTAGACACAAAATTTGTTAAAGGAAAAACTCGGTTGAAACATACGGGTAGCAAGCTTATTTACATCGACTTTAACATTACAGACCTGCATTTGTTTTATGCGTTCACTTGGTTCCGCGAATGTGAAATAGACATGTTTATAATCAACCAATTGTGAATTTCACCGTCAAGAATTAAAATAAAACCCAATGTTTTATATAATAAGCGGAAGTCGAAGCAATAAAACCGATGGTCGTTTTGTTTACAGTTTCTCTGTTTGACTCTCACGTATGCTGTTACGCCTGTCATCTTAAATTAAGAATGTTTATACATACACGATTTTCAGCTGCCTCTGATACGTATACGTGAGTAAATTGTTTCGTTATTTTATTGATTATTACAAATCAATATTCAAAACGACCCAATTCATTTTCCCGAAAATTTGAGAATATAATAATTTTATTCTTAGTATTACACTACATCTATCCCAACTGATATACGTGTCCTTGCAAAAATGTTGATGACGTCATCGCATTTTTTTTTTAAATTCCCACTACAAAAATGTAATGAGAAAAAAAACACAATAGGCATGCAGTCGTCAAGTTTCCGACAGCGAGGGAAGTACTGTCTAAACTCTTTAGACCAATTTTTTTTCTGTTGTATTCATTTCTTAAATTTACAAGTTATATTTTGACAAGTCGACAAGTTTAATTTTTTTCTGTTAATCACGTAGGTTGGATGTAATATTGATTGTATACTTTCAATACATTGATGTTTTTTTTTTTCATATTGAACATAGGGACTTCATGGTGTATGTTCAGAGTTAAAAAAATGTCCCTGTATATATCAGAAAACAAAAATTCAGTTTGCAATAAACATAATTTTCATATGTCGGAATAATGTGTAATTTTTTATCAACCTCAGATGATTTTTACGTTGTCAAAATGGGGCAAAAATATCAGTTTATGATTTTTTGTATATGAATCAAATTATATTAATGAACAACTTTTTTTTTTTGTTTTTGTTTTTTAATAGAAACAATACATTTTATGGGTACTTTAAAAGTACAGGAAACCTGTATACACAATACAATATTTTAGTGAGTAAATAAAGCAAATATCACAATACACAAAACATAAAAAAGATAAAATGTAAGATGACAGGGCTGGAAACTGTTAAAATAACTTGAACATTTCAAATAACTTTCACACTAATTTTACTTGTGTCCAGTTTTAATAAGTTCTAAACATTTTCCGAACCGACTAGCACTAAATATTATTTTTTTACTAAAAAAGATTCGTATTTAGACAACACTAACTTATTATGGACTGTAAAAATGTATCTATTTCTGGATAATTGGTGTCACCACATAAACTTTTTAGAAGTGGTAGAACAACAACCTTGACTTTTGATAAATATAGTCGTCTGTGGTTTCCTACTGTACACACAATTTTTTTATGGACTTACCAGCCTATTAGTCAACTTCATGATAATTTTACAATAGGACTTCAAAATTTTTGCGTAGTACAAGTTACTCTCGAAGCAAAAGGAAGCAGTTGCTATAAAAAAATTATAATAAAATTGATTTTTACAACACACACAGAAACCGGATACAGCGTAGCAGCAATGTCAAGAGTAAAGACAAAAACGACATAAAACGGCCGTCGTAAGCCATGAAGTAGCGGCAATTCCATATAATAATTTAATTTGATTTGTTGTTGTTTCTTTTCTGTACAGATTGTTTTTTTTTAACTTAATTAAAACAAAAAAAGATTTTTGAAACACGTTTTGTGAATGCTCTCTGGAGTATCTTCCATTTAAAAAAGGAAGTTGAATTTAGAGTTCTGGTATTTAAATAATGTTATTTACTTCTTTGTTCATTAGGTAAAAATGTTTTATGATTCTGTTGATATTTTTAAGTTAGTATAAACACATTTTATTCACAAACTGTACCGCAGATTCTGAGAATTTCGAAGATAATTCTTAGTAACATAAAAACCTCTTAAAGTAACTAGATTACACAAATTAAGTGCTAAGTGTTACTGATACATAAGAATAAGCAAAATTACTGACTATTTTTGTGTTTTTATTTAAAATTCAAATAAATCCGACGCGCATGGAATCGAGTGAAAACTAGAATTTGCGTCACAATTTTGATACTAACTTTTATTTCAACAATTTTATGACCAAGTGGCGCCACGAAGATGAATTTTCAACAAATCCTGTTTATTCAAAAAACGTAATGAAACTCGTCGTATGCTTTTGACGTTCGTCGTACCGACTGTGTTTAATTAAAAAATTATCACACTTTTGTATTTTAATAACTAATAAACATAAGCGGCTGTTGAAAAGCGTCAATGCCATTTAGAGTATATTAACGAAAATTTACGTTGGGTATAAATACACGCGAGCACTTCCAAGTCAATCAATAGACAATCCGCCGAAGCATAGTGTACTTGCAAGTGAATTCTCAGAGAAATAAGTGCGAAAATGAGGCCATTCCTTTTCGTGTGCCTCTTCGCGGCTATTGTGTTATCATCAGCTATTCCCATCGCTTTGGAAGATTTATCACCCGAGTACGAGCTCATTGTCCTAGAAGAAGCTCCCGAAAGCAGTGGCATCTCCAAACGCTCTTTACAAAGAGAACTGGACTCGCCTTTGACCGGATCAGAAAAAATCACCAAAAGATCTCTCAAGACAGATTTTGGAACACCTCTAACCGGTATGGAGAAAATCACCAAGAGATCTTTGAAAACCGAAGACGGCTTGGCACTCACAGGCATTGAGAAAATTTCTAAGAGGTCTGCTGATGAGCCTGAAGACGTAAGAATCGTCTTCTTACCATCGCTTTCCAAGCATCGAACAGAGAGGTCTGCTAAATTCGAGACAGACGTTCTTGACAGCAACGATGTCTTCAAGCGAGAGAAAAGGCAACTCTTTTTGCCAGGTTTTGCTAGGAGGAGAGTCGGAAGGTCTGTCGACGGCGAAGACATGGAGACGGCAGAAAGTGCAGTATTTTTACCGGGCTTTGCACGAAGAGGTTGAACTGTCGTTTGAAAATTGGCGAGATCTGCTGGTTATTCTTTGTTTTATTTTTGACCTGGCAATGTGCAATATAAAAAACAAATAAAAATATTAGGTTTAGGGCACAATGTGATTTATAATTTTGTAATGTTGTAGGTGTAGATAGGAAACGGGGGGTTACATCTTTACCTGATTTTTCCGAAAGACTGTATTTTTTAGTTAAATATACATTTTTGGTTAACGTGGGTCTTTCCTTTCTCTTTCCTATCTATAGAATTTTCTAGAGGTAATTGAGAGTGTATATTGAAAAATACAGGTTGATATTACAAGTAGTTGTAAATAGATAATTTTAATTACTAATAAATTCTGCTTTATCCGATGACTGTCTATTATTCTGTAGAAATATTTTTTTAATGATATTTAATTTTACTAATGACTGAATATCATAGATAGCTACTATAATTTAACTTACAAAACCTCAATGCTTCTGCAGAATATCATTATAGAAAAACTTACCTAATTTTTGTAGTTTTACAAAATAAACAAATATTCTTTAACAAATTTATCATGGTGATCAAGATTCTGCAACAACGTAGTTTAATAAAGATGGTCATGTGTACAACCAACATGTATTATTTTTTTTTAGTCGATTTAGTTATAGATGTGCTTCTGTCGCAAACTTAACGATCTAGCAGTGTGCTTCCTACTTTTTTTTGTTATTTTTACAAGAATCACGCATCTTATTCGACTAATTTAGTAAATATGTAAGTGTCACAATATTTATTTATTAAAAGGTTGAAGTTAGCTCAAATTTGGATTTTGATTCCCTTTTTTGAAAGGTTTTTTCGGTATTTATGATCTCAAAGTATTTTGGTATTAATTTGGTCCAACTCAAAGTGGTTTCAATTTAAGGCAGCAAAACACGAATTCAAAACCAAATCTGAACCTAACTCTACAAGAACGTTCATTTATCAAACACCGATATTATATCAATCACAGGTTAAAGGTTTTCAATTTTACAAATTTGCTAAGAATTAGTTTGCAAGTTTAATAATTATGCTAAGTCAGTTTTAAATATGAAACTTCATGAGATAAATAAATTGTAGTGAATACATTCAAAATAAACAACCTGAACAATTTTACTTAAAAGTCAGAGAATGGAAGTAATGCAACTACAATACGGTAAATATTTTTTTTTACTTTACTTTTTCGAGTAATTATAATGAAATATTGCGTTTACTTTTCAGGTGGAAGAATATTTCATATGAATCACTTTTCGCAAAAACGACGTAAGGTATTTTAAGAAGCTGAGTGTTGTTTGTGACAATGGTGAACTTCGTATTTGTACAAAAATGACACAAATCTATTTAGTCTATATGCCAAAAGTATTAGCACAATTTGTAAAATTCTAGAAGCAACAACTTAAGCCTATTATCGATACATCCGTAAGAAGCTAGTCGTCTACCAAATTTTTTTATTCACTGTTGATTAGTTTGAGATTCACTGTAGAAAGTATAATGAAGAATGTCGAGTTTAATAAGTGACAGTAATCAAAGTGCGAGCAAGGCAACTTTGAAGAAACGAATTCGGAAGTCTATAAACGAACTTATAACTGAAAATGGAAAATTTAGGAAAGGACACGTCAATTGAGTGTAGATTTACCAGTAAGTCTCTGACCTGTATTCAGTCTGTTCGTATAATGCTATATTCTACATTATGTATCATTATGGTTTCAAAAACGCTGTTTCAAATATTTTACACAAAAAGAGTTTTATCTCTGCAATACACAAATAAATAACTTTCGTGATAAAAATGAACAAGATATCTGATAGCATTTGTGTTTCACACGATATGCGTAGTCAGTCAACCTTTAAAAAGAAAGAACTGACAAAAGCTTTATAAATCCTCTTCGCAAAGGTATTACAAATATTTCTATTGTCTGATAATAATTGCTGTGAATAAAATAAGAACAACACTATAATTCAATTTTTATTCTAAAGCGTCTTAACTTTAATGGCAATATCAATATCGCACATTATTAGAAACGTAAACAGTGTGTATATACAGGGTTTCTATAAATGATTATAGGGTCGAAGTAGATCATGGAAACGTACCGGCTCTCACTTTATATGGACTTTACTAAATGCCCAAGGAGTCAGGACAAATACCACATGCACATGTGTAACTGGTTGCCTAAACGCTTTATAAGTATTCTATTAAAAAATAAAACTAATTAATTACAATAAGAACAAATAAATTTATCCCGCTTTAACATCCCCGTAAATGTTGAAAATATTCATCATTTTGTTCAAAGCACATGTTCACTCTCTTTTTAATTTCAAAAATGTTCTGTAACATCCTTTGGTCGATGCTTTGGACCCATTGTTCAAGTTTATGTTGCAGCAGGAACTCCTGACTATTGAGGAAATCTTGAAAGATGTTTGCGGATTCTGCTCAAGTCGTTTCAAATCATCAACAACTTTCTCAGATACTGAAGGTCTTCCAAGAGATTTCGCTTACAAATGACATTAATGACAAGTGAGAATTGTCATAATAATGAGGCATAAATACACAATATGTTAAGTAAATTATTCGAAACTGAGCATTCTAGCAACGTAAAGTATTAACTTATCTTTTTTTTTCAGAACAAGCACCTTGCTCATAGTGAAGCAATGACAGATAATGACAACGGCTTAAATAAAAAGTATCGAACTGTTTTCCCAGAATTGAGAACAAGACTTTAGTACAAAGCATTACGGACATATATATTTGTGCATTTTCTAATCAAGATTTTGTAACTCTTTTCAATTTGTTAAAACATCACTAAGGAAGTAGCACAGTAAGGTCTTAGAAACTTTTTGAAGTGAAATCCAGTTCTGATACGATAAACGAAGCTATTGTTGATCAGCCAAAAGGTACTGCATTTAATATATTACGTTTGTTAAACTACTACACAAATTATTATTTGTAGCTCACATAAAACTTTTATCATTTCAAAGGCACCATTTTCAGATAAACAGATAAAATTCGCAGAAAAGACTTAAAGAACATTGCAAGCGTAACCTTGTAAAAATATATAAATAAATGTTCATTAACTGTTATGGAATTTGGAATAAACAGAATACTTGGACAATAACACCTAACATAAAAATAGAACCCGAGGAGCGTATTTACAAACAGCAAATTTAATTAGATGGAATCTAATCTTCAAGTCTGCAGTAAAGTTAAAATTTTTGTTCTGTTCGGTTTGTGATCTACTGGGTTTGCATTGTAGAATAATACTCCTATATTTTTTTTAAACAAATATGTAAGTAAAATTGACCCAGTGGAACTTATCAACCTCTTCTAATTTCCAGTTGTGTGTACTCAAAACTGGCAGAAAAAATCAAGAGCTCTATTGCTGGACCACCGACTAAGTGAAGACTTACCACAGAGATGCTGTAAATTAGTAAGTGTTCAAACTGTCTGGCAACGAATAAACGATTTTTTTATTTCCTATAAATCATCCGAGTTCTTTGCTGAAGATCAGTTAAAATTATTATTTGACATTTTTTTAAAAAGCAGAAATAGATTACTGAATTTTTAAATCAAAACACTTGCATATTAACAGAGTATAACTTGAATATTATCAGTATGATATTAAAACTTAATTATAAATATAATCGTATAGTAGGTGTTTGTATTTTTTTTTGTCCTGTTTTTATCTTAATTTTTCCGATATTAAATTAAAACTTACAGAACAGGCTTCTATATAAAGTTGCACGACAAAAATTTGCGGAAACACTACCATCCACATTTTTTTTAGTACAAATGAAAAGCATTGAAAAAAATAACTAAATGGAAAGGAATTAATTTCATAACTGTCAAAAATATATACATCTCGAGTGTTTTTGTAACTTCCTGAAACTTTTGTTATTGTTCGTAGATAAATCTTTGTTAATACTGTCACTGGGCACAACAGCAAAAAAAGTAGATAAAATGCGAATAATTGTTTAACATTTGATGCTAATTTGAAGTCACAAAGAAGATCCGACATAGACTGCATATAATTAAAATTTTATATAAAAGCTGCTAATAATTCTTTTAACACAATTAAGAACGATGTTGTTTAATTGGTGTTCACACTATAAAAACAAAAGTTCAATATTTGTTTCAGTGTGACGGCTATTAAATAAAAATGTATTTCCTTTTATTCAAACATTAATGCAAAATACACAAATATAATCACATGAGTAAAGACAAAACAATAAAAGTTTCCATAAAGTAGTTGCTCATATCTAATTACGTTCAAGAAACCTCCATTATAAACAAGTACTTTTCCTATTTGCGATGACACATCGTTTCCGATTATTATATTATTAAAAAAGAAATTGAACAAATCGTACTTGGTACACAATTTATTAACGTTATCGTGCGTCCAGAATTTTCTTTGTCATTGATCTATATTGTCTGCGTTTGTTAACGTTATTAAAATAATTAAGCGCATCATACATTTATTAGCATAAATTATTAACAATTATATTATAATAAATCTCGGAACCTATATATATTGAACAAGACCAGCTAGTCCTTCATAACTTGTTATACTACTTACGAGTTTGGTGATGAAAATGTTAAAAGTATTTGTATTGTTAGTTGTTGTTTCCGTCCTCACTGCCGTTTCCTGTAAACCAATGTCAAGTAAATCTGTTCAGGATCTTGGTTCATGGACTCAAAATGAAGATAATGAAGAAAACCAACAACGCCAAAGAAGATACGTCAGCGAGTTGTTTCCGCCCAGAGGAGAAGTTATAAACGACAATTTGAAATACCTGGATCGTGATTTCGTTTCTGTGCCTTTTTACCGAATACAGAAAGTTTTTGTGTATAGAAGACGCCTTCACAAAGAAGAATAACTATTGGTCGTGTGAATTTGAGACCAATATGTCGATTTAAATAACTTAATTTATTTATGTACAGTATGAATAAATTTATTTTTTTACTGTGATTGTATTTTATGTTCTATTTAACTGCCCGCTAAACAAGAATGTAACCGAAAAAAATCTGTTCAGTGGTAGATTTTCTGTTGAATATCTAATTTGATTAATAGTTAGTGAACGTGAACGTATTGTTACGTTGTGCAGACAAATAAAATCGGCGTAGGTTAAAACTTTACAATTTATTTCTTAATAATTCGAATTACACTACTAACTATTACAGCGATTACGTACAAAATAACTTCGCAACTTAAATGCATTCGCTCACTCGACTCTTGACTGAATAATCATTCCCGAAGGTGGCCTCTATTTAAATCCATATTTCGGCGATCGAGCTCTTTCACGAATTGGGTATTCGCGACTTCCGCTTGCAGGCTTTTCGAGCGCCGCTTCGAGACTTTTTCTGGGCCCCTCTACATCCGCGCCGCCGATGAGTCAAACTACATACGAGAAGAAATACGTACATACTAGACGACCCACAGGCGTCGTACCGAAGCGGCGTAGGGTTTATTTCGTAACAGTATGTACAACAGCTGACGTACGACTAGGCGGAGTGTACACTGGTAAAGAGTACGAATTTGCTTTATTTTAGTTAATTACCGATGTCCAGACCGAATATACATACTTTTATAAAACGATATTTTAAATTTTCGACCTTGGTAACGTAGAACCTATGAAATAAAATATCGACTGAAAAATACTGTTTCTTTACTTTACCTATTTGAGTCTGTAAAAATTGAACTAACTAATGGGAGTAACTCTTTTAATAGATCATTAAATTGGTTTCCAAACAAACAAACAAACAAACAAACAAACAGTAGTACAACTTAAGAATCAAACGAGAGATTTATTACGAATTTTACCGGGAGGTTGTCGTTTTATAATAAAAAAATTGGTGGAAGGTTATTTCGACAGAACCTCCCTCACCCTTGAATACCCTCCAACCAATGCAATTTCTTTAAAAAATTATAAAGTTTGATTTTGACAGTATGGAATATATTTAAAGTCTATTATTAACCAAAGGGAAAGAATGTATTTATTTTCAGAACATACTTCACTTCGATTATTCATCTTTAAATATCGAAATTATGGAACGATTAAGCACGTAGTAAGCTGCCTGATTTGAATGGTTTTGTCTCCCCAAAACAGAGGGGGCAACTAAAATTATATTAATAAAGCTACAAGTAAAACAAAGTTTATATCTAAATAACTAAACAAAAATGAATACTTTTACTTCTAAGCGTAAGTTAAAGCGAGTCCATATCTTTTTCACTTCCGGGGTGTTCATTACATTTTCAGAATGTAACATTTCCGTTATTAGCAGACTTATTGCAGTTTTTGAACAGCTTCTTCAATGCACGCTTCCTTTTCCTTTTAGTGTATCTCATTTCCGACAAAAAAAATCGACAATGTTTCCCAAGTAAAGTATAGAGTTCTGTAAACTGAAAACACTGGTGAAAACTGCGTTTCATAATTTCCATAAATAATAGAGACTGTTTTTAAAGAAACATGATGAAAAATTTCACCAAAATGTTAAAAAGAAGATGACGATAAACTGGTTAAAAACTACCCTTGCGTTGTATAGCGCAAAACGTGGACAGATTATATTTAAAATTTTATAACGATAGGTTTGTTAATAACGCAGCTCGTATTACGTTCTGAAAATATATTGAAAATCTCATGAGCCAAAGGTAGGGGACTCTCTTAAGAAGACGTATTGCAATAGGTTTGTTTTGATAAATGTCTACTTTTGGAAGTGTTCTTGTCGTTTCATAGTTTATGGAGTAAGAAAAAGTGAGTTACGTCCCATTTGGTCAGGTCAGGGCAGTTTAGAAATTTATTGTAGATACCTACATTAAGCCTGTGTTCCCAAATATTCCGCCTTAAATTGACATGTGAATAAATTTTTAAGTCTGCGAAAATTAAAAAAAACTGGCCTTGAACTGTGATCGTCTAACAAAATGGAACACTACATTGTGTTTGTGTGTTTTTTTGTGACGGAATGCATTCAGATGCAAAGTGGGCGACCCCAAGGTTGGAAAAGTACCGCTAAATAAAACACAAATTATATGGAGGACACAAAAATCGTTTATTTCTCCATTCTGACAAAAAATAAAAAGAAAGCTGCGACTAAGTTGGGCAGGTCGAAGACAAAAAAGCTACAAAAAATGTGCCTAACTTTCGAACTGAAATCAAATCAAACGTTCCGAATCAAAATATGCAAATATTTGAATATCACAAATCTAATAAAAAAAAAAGAAAAATCTGAATTAAAGTAACTGGATGCAAATCCACAAGTTCCATCTCAAATAAGGTAGCTGGGTAAACGCCTAGTCCACGACAGAAGAAATCTGAGATTACAGGTAAACAGTGTTGGGGACAGACGTTTAAAAGTATCTATATACAGATACAGATATGTATATGGAAGATAAAAGTATCTAGATACAGATTGTTTTCGATTTTTTCGAAATGTATCTAGATACATCAGATACGGCAACCTGTCATATTCTTCAATATCGGCTTATGATGTTTTTATGACCATGTCCGGTAATCGTCTATCCCGGTGCGGCAGGTATATACATTTTAGGAAGAATTGCTGGTTCCGTTTAATAAGGCAGAATAAGTACAATTTCTTAGAAAAGTATTTAAATCCCTAATAGGATCAAAGGCTGCCTGGCAGGCCGAAATTACCAGAGTGCAACTTTAAATTTTCAGATTTTTGTTGAAACTTATTTTATTTTAATCTCGTTTCACCATTTCTGAGAATATATCACGATAAATTATTCTACCGAGGGTTGTAAAAATATTAATTTTATTGCCCAAGATTTACACTTAAACATAATCGGCACATTCTAGGGCAAAACGGACCTGCCAAGCCCGCCTCGCGTTAGGTCCAACAATGAAAAAGTGAAGAAATGACACATGTGGCAACAGGAAAAGATGCTACATTTCTCTAAAAAATAACGGTATAAAACAGTAACAAATATGCGATTTTTGCGAGAGAAATGTATGTATTGAATATTCGATTAGTCGATTACAGAACTAATTTGTGCTAATTGAAAAAAATAATCATTATGTAACACGCAATTATTATTTTCTAAAAATAATAACACCTTAAACAAATATTTTTACTATTAAAATTACTCTTATTTAATAACACAAATACAACCAGCGGCCCTACCGGACCCGGGTTGCTCAGATACACAGATAAAATGCATTGCCCCGGGTGGCCCCGGATAAGGGTAAAACGCAGTGAATAGTGAATTGTAGTTTATGGTTTTTAAAATACCATTTTACCATGGCTTAGATTTATTACCCCTCAGGATTATATTTACAGATGTATAAGTACTAAAGGCTACAATGTAGGAAATGATGGTATTTAAAATATGAAAATTTCCGTGACAAAACACTATTAGTGGGCCTCTTACCTCTATTTTTGTTTATGTGACCAAAATCACCAACATGAAGTATCAAAAATTACTACTAGTATAACTCATCTAATAACTACTGAAAAAAAGTGAAATAAAAAAATGTATCTGTATCTGCGCCATTAATTTTGTATCTAGATACAGATATTTTGTGCTTAAATTCGATAGTATCTAGATACAGATACTAGATACCCAAAAATGTATCTAGATACTTTTTTTAGATACAAGTATCTAGATACTGCCCAACACTGCAGGTAAACCTTCACGCAAATTCGACCCCGCCACTCCGTCCGCGTTCCATAGGACCCCGCACATGTATTACGATTAGATTTAAAATCTACTGAATTTTGGCGATATCAAATGGAAACAGAGCATTGCAATTCCGAAGCAGAAAACGGGCAAAACTAAGTTGTGTCCCACTTTATCAACAATTCAAATAAGAAATTTACATGACGTTAAATTATGCCACATTTTATCGACGATTCAAACAAAGAATTTACGTGATCTTAGATTATACCACACTTTATCAAAGATTCAAACAAAGAATTTACATGATGTTAAATCATGCCTTGATCCAAGTGACTGGTTTCTTAAAAAATTTAGCTTCGAGAGTTTATGTCGTGGACTGTTCTCCGTTGCCCAAACCATACACATGAGAAATGAGCACAAAATGCGGTTGAAGATCCAAATCGGTGTTTTGTGGTGATGCACATCCCTCATCGCGAGAATAACGTCTTGCTGATGCAATCTCCCTTGTTGCAAGAATAACGTCTCGGTGACGCAATCTCCAAGTAGTTGTTGAATGGTGATGTCCGGACCATAAATACCTAAACACAAATTCAATCCCCCGTTTCTAGGTCCACGGTATTATGAATTCTACCCCATTTTCGCGGTCCTTTTTCCCAAAGTGGGACAAGGTTAGGTCAATTTAAATGCCGTAAATGAACTAAGTATTAGCAATCTCGTGTGAGCAACTAAGAAATGTTATAATGTAATACTTAAGTATAAGCGTACAGAAATCTTATTTATAACTTCATAAACAAAAGAATGAGGTCTGAATAAGTGAATCTCATGAAATCTGCTAGCAAGTGCTTTATTTGAACAATCTCATGACTGCTAAATTGTGTTAGAAACAGTAACAATTAAAATCTTAACATGAGCTGCGAATTTACAAACAATAAACCAGATTTACACTACGTGTTAGTTACGCTTGTTGGGGAAACCGTAGCGTTACCATTGGTACGATTTATTTTCGTTAAACAAAGGCTCCGTTTTTTGACTACTAAACCAACTAAACTTAGTCTAGTTACCTTACCGCGTGCTTTAACTTACACCAACCAAACAATTCTCGACCAAGCACTAGCAACCCTCTTACCAGATTACTACTCACAAATTCCTTAAAAAAACTACCAACTACTAGAAAAAAGAAGTAAACTTGCACATGGTTACCTATGTTTAACGATTTTCTTTTTCTTTTTTCAAATTAAAATTATTCAAATGCGATTTCGCGCCTTTGCTTTTTTTTCAGCACGAAATTTTAATTTAAATTTGGATACCACACTTGATCTAGTGATTACCCACATAGCATTTTTCCTCCTCAGAAACTTGATAACTAGTTCAGATACACCACTAGTCCTTTTATGGATAACTAGAGGGACTGAGCTGGACCTCAACATTCAGAGATTTAAAACTTGTTCTGTAGGTAAGAATCAAACAAAATACTTTTCGGTAGTATAATTCTGCCTACATCTGAGATAAGTATCTTTTAATCTTAGTTCCTCAACAGCACAAACAATAATAATTGGTTGCGTTTTAACAAAGAAATCAAATAATCTGTTTTTTAAATTGGTAGGTTAATCGTATAGGCAACCAGAAATTACCGATCACGGTTCGTGAAGTACCTATAATGAAATTTTTAAACACTACCAGTGAGTATGGATGTTAAATAAATACATAGCCACTGACACTACACAAGATTAGATTTTTTACTTGTCAATGTACGATTTACCGAAATCAAAATCAGCGAAACCACCGCTTTTGGAGTTCATTAAGAAGTATACCAAATTATATTTTTTGGATACCATGTTTTCAAATATGCGCGATAAAGATTAACAACTACGAAATTCAGAAAAAACACGTGCTCATACCATACCAAATATTTAAATATTTACCTCTATGTTCAAAGAAATTTTTTATCACCACACTGCATCCAAATTTTAAAATTTTGACTGTATATTAGGCATTTGTTTATGTTTATTTTGTCTGAGAATATTATTTGATGTCTTTTCAGTACGTTACGGTAGAAACTTTCTCTATTAAATTTGTAAAATTTGTGGGTATAATGTCATTCTCAGAATGATTCTGAACAAATAATAATTACGGCTATTACACCTTTAAAATAAATTGTTAATACTTAATAAAAACAAAATAAAAAGTGTCTATTTAACAATTCATCTTTATTTTATCCATAATGAAATATAAAGAATTTTAGAGAAAACGTTTCATGTTAACTATAAAAAAATTGGCCAAAAGAGTTTAGACAGTACTTCCCTCGCTGTCGGAAACGTGATGACTGCATGCCTATTATGTTTTTTTTTCGTATTACATTTTTGTAGCGGAGTATTTTAAAATAAAATGAGTATTAATTTTTTCTACTTTGTCATTATTTGGTATTGGCATCTTTGTCATTTTTTTTGTGATTGCTATGATTGCTTAATAAAAAAAAAATTGGCCGAAGTCGTCTCTGGGGTGTATAATATGTTGCCTATGCAAAAATTGTTAGGCGTAAACAGATAAAAGGAACACCCTGCATAGTATTTGTAATTTAAGACAAATACGTCTGCAAAATTTCAAAGTATTCAGTTTTGCAATTCTTGATTTAATCAATAGAATTAATTGACTCCGTCATTAATTTTTTTCAGACACCCCGTATAAGCAAATCTAAAAAATATTAACGCAGTGATAAATTACTCATCATTCTTTACACATTTAAGATGGCATTTTTCAGCAAAATTTTGGGGCGGCGTCATCAATTTTTTAGGGGGTACGAGCAAATAAATTTTGATTAAAAATTTACCATGCTCATGATAAATTTAAAACATCTCCAAGATTTTAAATCATTCGGTTTTGTAGTTCCTGATTAAATCAATAAAATAAATTCACTTATTCATTAATTGTTTTTGACTCACCCTGTATATGCAAATCCAAAAAATATGAATGGAATGATAAATCACAAGTAGAGACTCGTCATTTTTGTACATTTTCGATTGGATTTCCTCGGCAAATTTTTGAGCTGACGTCATTAATTTTTTGGAAGGGATAAGTAAATATATTTTGATTAAAAATTTATCATACTTACCATAATTGTAAACCATCTGCAAGATTTCAAAGCATTCGGTTTTGTAGTTCCTGAGTCAACTCAGGAAAATAAATTTACGCATTCATCACATTTTTTGAGTCACCCTGTATATGCAAATCCAAAAAATGTGAACGGAGTGATAGATCACAAGCACAGACTCATCATATTTTGTACAATTTAGATAGGATTTATGCGGGAAACTTTTGAACTGACGTCATCAACTTTTTGGAAATATATTTTGACTAAAAATTTATGATTCTCTTTATAGCCTTAAAACATCTGCAACATTTGAAAGCTTTCAGGTTAGAAGATTCGAAATTAAATTGCAAAATTTTGTTTTATAATTTTGATTTGTTTTCAAAAATCTGGACGTTTTGGGTAAAAACTCAATTCGGAGTTGTAAACTACATGTGTAGGACTATGTTATTTTATACAATTTAAAAGCCATTTACTATGTACAATTTTGAAGTGACGTCATCGTATTAGTGGCGGGGATGATTAGACAAATTTTGGTTAGCGTTTTACCATCTATATGATATTCCTAATATAAGTACAAAATTTCACAACAATCGGTCCAGTACTTTCGGAGATTATCTGTCTAATAAAAATCCGGGACCGCAGACAGACGGACAGACGGACAGACAGACGAAAACGGGAGACCTATTATTTCGTCGTCCTCTAGGAATCATGAAAGATCGAGAAAACGTAAAAGTAAAGAGCCGGCCGACGGACTCGATTACAATACTTCCTTTGCTTACGCTCGGGAAGTAAAAACATAATAAGCATGCAGTCGTCACGTTTCCGACAGTGAGGGAAGTCTAAACTCTTTAGACCATTTTTTATTAAATTATTATCAGTTTCAAAATTTATAATATCGTCAGTATTTTAAGTATTTGTGTGGTGAAATAAGTTTCTGTTACGCATTTTCAGTATAGTGTAGGTTTATCGGGAAATTTAGGAACTGTTAAGTCTCCCAAACGATTAAGAAATATATGTGCCACATTAACTTAAAACAAAAATGTTATTTCAACTTTAAAACGTTTAAAGTTTATTTAAAACTACTTGTTAATTACTAAACACATAGTTTTGTTTTGAAAATGAATTATAGCTATGTTTTCAGTAATGAAATATTTGGTTCAACTGTTAGCAGATAATTATATCGCACACTTAGTAACAAATTTTTAGTAAACATTTTTTGGAAACCATGATTTTCCAAACAAATAAATAAAAGTAATAGCTGGTATAGACGTTTGCAACAACTTTGAGTAAAATAACCCATTTTTGAAACTTAATTTGAAAAAACTTTTTTCTGACGATTAAAAATCAAAATCGTCCAATTTAATTTTTGAATCTAACGTAGAAGCTAATGTAGTGTCATAGTTTAGTAAAATATTGCAATGTCATTTGTGACATTTGATGTACATATAGAGATAATTAAAGTAAGCTTGCTAAGCAATATATCCATCGGCTACAAAAATGTTAAAAAGTACGCATGTATTTTCATGAGACAGATAAGTTTATTTTATCGGTTCAAATAATCATTTGTTAATAAAATCTTTCAGAATCTTCCGCAAAATATAAATGAAACTGTAGGTAAATTAAAATCAAATTTTGAACAAAAACAAAAAAAGGGTGTTAGAGTGAGATTTTAGTACAACTTATGATTAAGTAGCGACAAATATTGAAATCACACTTAAATATTTACTGTATTGTAACAAGTAAAATTTAAAGAAAGTCACAAGAATTACTTCATTACACAAGGTTAATCAATATAGGCTTACGTACCTACTTGAATTACAAAATAATTCTGGCTCCTCTCTCCTATGTTGACCCAACTTTGTCAACCAAATACGTCTAATACATGTTTCAAACAATAAAAAGAAGAGAAACATGTGTTACTTTACATTGACTACCTTGACATATTAATAATTTGCTTCGCTTTACTTAACAAAAAAAAAACACAATTTAAGATTTTTTTGGAAGTTAAAAAATGTTACGCGTAATGATTTTCTACTACTTCAATTGGTATTGTACCGTTTGCTATAAATGTTAAAACATGAGTTGTTGACGATTAGATTTGGTCATAATGATTGTTAAGTAGTTGAACTTATTTAGCTTAAATATTTCGACCTAATGTTTTCAATTCCACGTGTGCTCTTGTGATAAATGCAACATGTTTTGCTACTGGGTCAATATCAGTAAATATTTGAACTAGCACTAAAACAGTCAACAAAATTATTACCTGCTAGTACATATTTGAATACGCAGTTGCATTTCATTGAACACATGTCGCACTGCGTACATTTTCGAGTTCCTCGTCTATTTTTTGTTTACTCCACTGAAAAATGTTAGATAACGAAAATAAAAGTTTGATTTAATTAGCAGCTTTAAATTATTTTTGGGTTGTATTCCGACAAAAACAACATGGTCGTGATAAATCGACTCCATAAATAACCTCTTTTTAATTAATTAGCACCTTCGCTTTTATTTCTTGTTCAAAGTCACAAGATGTATAAAAGCCAGGGAGTGACAATTAGTCACCACATGTGTTCGCCTAACAAAGAAAATATCAATTCAGTGTTAGTTAGCGGCAAATTTACAGATACAAATGAATTTTTTTGTGGTAAGGATTTTTCGGTTACTTTATTACATTAATTCATTAAATTGCTTTTTTCTTAGATTATCACTGTCATCATAACTCTTCTGAGTGTTATCAGCGTTTCACGGTCAATGCCTTATACCGCTTCAGATATTGATGAATATAACCAGGAACACGAAGCCGACGATTTACATGTAGCTGAACAGTTAGTTTTTCGACCACTGTTTGCGTACAGAGCACTCAAAGAAAGAAGAGGCAGCCGACGAAGAAGTCGTTGAAAATAATTAGATTTTTGTATGTACTCGATTATTTATTTTTATATATGTATAAGTACTTTCTATGGATATCATCAAAAAAATCTGTAGAGGGGTTTTCTATTTTTTACTTTTCTATAAAATTATTCAATGATTTGTAATGTTACTGTTGTATATATACATTTGTAAATATTTATCTAAAAATAAAAAATATTTTGTATAGATATGTGAGTGATTTAAACCCTTTTCAACGTTTCTTAAATTTTCGTAAACTGAAATGTTGTATCTTATTATTTCATAACTACTTCAAAAAATTTTAGTAAGTCATATTCTTTGCGCGCGCTACTTTTAACTTGGCATTACCCCTGCTGAACCTTTTATATATTGCAACTCAATAAACCCATATTTTACCCTGTTTTAATGTTTTCTTTTTGCTAAATAAAGATCCGTATAAAATTAAAAAAAAACTCTGTGAGTTTTTGTAATATCTCTTGGTTTTAGCTAGTTTCATCTAAATTCCAGCCTTTGCAAATTTTACCAAAACAGTGGATTTTTTAATAAAAACCTTGGAATATAATTGCTTAATAAGTAATACTCATAATATAATAACGTAAACAAACGAGACCCTATAAGCAAAGCGAATTTGAAAAAATTATAATCGATATTGATGTTGAATAAAATGTTCTTCACCCAGAATATATGGATTGTAATTAGTTAATTACGTGTGGTTTGTAAACATAGGCAGCCAGGTATACTTGCGTGTAAAATATTTGCATTTTGCATTTTTGATGGCCATATTGTAGTAGAAAAAAAGTTGACAGAAGACAGAACAAAATGTGATTAAAAAACATTACGCTAAAAAAATTAATTTGAGAGAACGAACAAAATTAGAATGTCAAGTACAAAGATGTCTCAATTATGTGAATTTTGTAAGTTCACGTTCATCACCACGTCTCCCTTTAATAACAATTGTACAAGACTTGCAAAATTCATTTAACGGAAATGGTTTCTATTGTCTATCTAGTTTAACAGACGATTCATTGTTTTTAGAAAAAAATCTAGAACGAAAATCCCTACGAATCGGAACGAACATTTTCAGAAATTAACTGGATAAAGTAGTAAAATTATCAGAAAATACACATTGTAGAACGAAAATAGTTCCAACGAAAACTTTTAGTAAATTCGTGAACAGGTTTCAAGCCTGGTTCAATGTTATATGTGTATACTTGGTTGCATATACGTATTTTATTTAGCAGGAGTATAATTATTTTATGAAATATCGTAAATCATTTGTGGCTACACATCACAATACAAAAATCGTTTGTCGACCTTGAATATGTATTTCAAAAACACATATTGTGATAACCCAAACTTCCCGCCTTAAATTGACACTTGAAAAAGTTTGGAAGGCTCGCGAAAAATTCAAAAACTCAAAATTTGGCCTTGGCTGTGATCGTCTAACAAAAAAGAAACCTACATTGTGTGTTTTTTGTAAACATGGCGGGAAGACATCCTTTCATACAAGTGAGCATACATTGCGTGTGAGTTGCGAGCGCAAGAAATAATAGACAACATTTTTGGGAGGGGGCTAAAAATCGCACTCCCTCTCTAGGAGGAAAATGAGCTGCGAGTAAGGGCAACTCGTGGCTAGCCATCTCTCCTTCACTCCTCAGTCCCAAAAATCCCCTATGGTTTATTCACCCACATATAACACATCGCAAATGAAACACATAAAAATATGAAAGAAAGAGAACCGCGAATTGACAAACATATACATATGGGAAACCAAACAAGTGCAAAAACGCTACGTTTATGTTTTGAATCAATGCAAATATTTGAATATCACAAATTTAATAGAAACAAAGCAAAATCTGAATTAAAGTAACTGGATGCAAATACACAAGTTATTACGGGCGTGTGGCGTCAAATTTAAAGTTTCAGCAGTTAACAGAAGCACAACAAAAATACCCATGGGGCGTTCTAGCACAAGTGAAGTTTGGGGCTACCGGTCGGGGCTGTTCTCCCCGCGCGAGGGTGATTCTATCGCAAGCATATTACACATCTCTAGGACGAGCATGCCGTCCTAACGAGGCCGTTACGGTCGAAAACTAGAGATCGGAAGTTACGTTTACAAACAAGCTGACAACGTCTCATCGTCCAGACAGTTCCTACTGAATTTACTCAGAGCCTGCATCCCTTGTGCAGATGGCGCGACAAATCCCACTAGCCCCACTAGGAGCCGCGCCCTCCGCTTCTGCTACGTGTTTCAGTGTTATTTAACCTCAATTCCATTTTAAATGTCCAATTTCTTTTAATTCTGATATTAACAACAACTGAACAAGTCTCAAAACTTCAAAGGGCAATAAACAACATTTAAATTCACCATATGATCTTGTGAAATTTTAAACAACAAATACTTCTTATGTGAGATTAAAATTCAGATAATTTATACGATGGAAACATTCCTCAACAAAATATTTTTATGATCAAAACTAGCAAAGATTTATGAAAAATAAAAAATCTGGTGTGAAATAAACTTGTGCAAAGAAAAATATTATGTGAGGTTAAAACTGCAGAGCATGAAATTTAGGTTCAATTAAAATTACACAGCAAATAAAATTACTGATGTTAAAATTGTGAGATAGAGAAATATTCTATCAGGTGAAAAATTACAAAGTTAACAAAATTTACATGAGATGAATTCTTGCCACACTTTATCAATGACTTAAACAAAAAGTTTACATTATATAAAATTATGTCATGATCCAAATGATTGGTTACTTAAAAACAATTTACTTTGAGAGTTTAAAATACCGTGAACTGGTTACCCCAACAAAACACAATAAATAAATACAAAAATATCGAGGAAAAAGCGTCTCGGTGATGTAAATTTTAACGTTGCGAGGAAATACCTCGGTGATGTCAATTTTAACGTTCCGAGGAAATACTTTCATGATGTACATTTTAACGTTGCGAGGAAATACCTCGTTGATGTAAATTTTAAAGTTGCGGGGAAATACCTCGATGATGTTATCAAGCTCTAGCGTTGCGAGGACATGCCTCGTTGATGTTATCAATCTCTAGCGTTGCGAGGACATGCCTCAGTGATGTAATCAATCTTTAACGTTGCGAGGGCATGTCTCGTTGATGTAATCAATCTTTAGCGTTGCGAAGACATGCCTCAGTGATGTAATCAAACTTTAGCGTTGCGGGGACATGCCTCAGTGATGTAATGATGATTACGATGCTAATGACGATGGTAACTGCCTAAGGGAAAACATTATTTTAACCCCCCGTCAGTTCACAGTATAATGAATTTTGTTATTTTAACTACCGGAAATGAACTATTACCGATCTTATGTGAAGAATTAAGAAGCGTTATAATGTAACACTTACGTATATGCATCCAGAAAGTTATTTATAATTAAACAACAAAGGTGTTATCCGGACTAAGTGAATTTCATGAAATTTTTTAGCAAGTGGTTTATTTAAATAATCCTGATTGTTAAATTGTGTTAGCACTAGCTGACGATTAAAAAAAAACTAACCTTATCGGTGAATTTACTAACAATAAAACAAATTTACACTACGTGGTCCGCGTTGGACGAAAGTCCGCACTTTTTCCGATTAAAAGCCGCAAGAATTAGCCGCGCGGGTTAGGAAAAACTAGGCGCCGTCGGCGTTACGATTACTTTTCGTTAAAAAAAGGCTTCCTCTCTTTTATTAACTACCAAACCAACTAATTTAACTTAGCTACTTACAGCGTCGTTTCACCATGCACTTGCACGTTACCGAAGCAAAACAACAATGACCCATGCTTTCAACATGCCGCTCTCCCCTACCAAGCCGCCCTCTCATACTCAGCCCTCTAACTAACAAGCAGAACTACCAACTGTCATGAAAATAACTAAACGTGCACAAGGCCTATGTTTAATGATTTTTCGATTGAATTTTTTTTTCTTTCAAATTAAAATTATTCTAATGTGATTTCGTGTCGCTGTCAATTAAATTCAGCGCGAAAATTTGATTCAAATTCGGTCACCACAATATTAATAAAAATGTAAGTAGATTATTAATTTATCTCTTCCTTTTTATAAATTGAGTATCAAGAAACAATCGCTACATATTTGTTGTTGTTTTGTCCCAAAATTTTGTTAAGGAATTCCTAACTATTTAAAATGTACAAAATAATATGCTTCTGTACCTGTGATTTATTTTTAATCCATCCATATTTTTAGCCTTATTAATAATACTGTAGGTTTTTGGAAAACAAAGTAAAAAGTACAACAAAATTTAGCAATTTAACTTAAAAAACAGCAAAACTCTGCTTTGGAATTTTGCACACTCTTAAACGCTGGTGTGATCAAGGTGATGGTGATAGTATTATTAGTTGCCTATAGTCAAACTTAAAATAGGGATAAGTATTTTTAAATACTTTGGAGTTAATTTACAATTAATTTCAAATTATTTCACTTAAAATTTGCACATCAAATTAGTTTTCCGCTTGACTTGTACAAATCCGGAGGAAATTGCGTAATTGTAATATTTCGTTAAAAATGGTGGATGCGCCAAATAAATGGATCCTTTTTTTGTTATTTGAGGAGATTCGCATAAATTTCCAGATACAGAACATGAATTTAAAAAAATGTAAAACTGAATTATCTTGCATTATACAAATTTTTAACTAGACATTCTATTTTATTTCATTTTGTTACCATTATTTTCTATTTTTTTTTTGTCTACTAAATTTATTTTCCCAAAATATTCTTTCCAGTAAAATATTTTTGGGTAACTTTTCGTTCTTGTGAATTTTACGTCCTTTTCTGTATTGACTTCATCATTTCCAATTCATAATTCATCTCTCTCCAATTCTACACACAGTCCACCATATATACCTAATTTATATCGTAAAAATCTCTTAACATACAATACATAACCGAATAAATTATTCCATATTCTTTTAGTTAATAGTTTGTCTTGTATGTTAAGCTTAATGTACACTTTCAACAATAAAAATACGTCTTGTTTCAGTTTTTTATTTAAATGTTAATACCAAAATGACACTAGTTTAAATTAAAACTAAAATACATCCACAGTTTAATACTTTTAAGTACAATCGTTTAAAAAACTCTCAGTTCTCAGCTCTGTCTCGTTTCAATTGCCAGTTCGTCATTGTACACTTAAACTACTAATTAACCCCAGTAATACCGGCGACCACCCCAACCACCGCCCCAACCCCATCCTCCATAACCTCCGAAACCTCTTCCGTAACCGCCATATCCGCCATATCCGCCCCATCCACCGTAACCTCTCCTCCATCCCCCGCCGTATCCGCCCCAGTACGGCCTGTAACCATAGTAACCACCCCAGAAAGTATTGGCGGTGTCCAAATCCGACTTTTCTTCAGGATTTGCTACTGCTTGAGGTACTGCAGCATCGCCACCAGGCAGGGCTTGGGGTACTGGAGCATCTCCACCTTCTAGGACTGGTCCTAAACGAACTGGGACATCTTCTGGTGATAGTCCCCCTAGAGATGGGGGTGATTCTTGTATTACAGGTTCTTTATTTTCGAGAGGTTGGGATTCTGGAGGGTTATCACTTGCTTGTGTTGCTGCTACAGGTTCTGGTTCATTTTTTTGAATCGGGCTTGGCTCTTCGACTGGAAGTGCTAATGAAGAGGAGAGAAGGAACACTGTCGCAAAGACAGTTATCATCTGAAAATAAGTATTTTTTTATTACATATTATTATTATTATATGGTGTGAAAGAGTATTGTTGGTTGCAAAAGCGTGAACACTTGTGGTAACTACAACAAGGAAAATGACATCCTACGGTGATAAAATAACTGAAAATAATTAACCTCCATTTTTTGACTCCGAATAGTTCATATACTGCGTAAACTGTCTATGGAATAAATTTAATTATCTAAATAACAATAATAATAATAATAATAATAATCTAATCAATGCATATCATTACTTGGTCTTAGTACCCGTAATGATAGAAGTCTTGCCTGAATGCCGGTCATTTCCGGGTCAGTGGTGGGTCTTAATAACAATTCCAAAAGATGTGTTAATAGGTCAATGAATTATGTAATTTAGACTTTTTTAATTTTTGCGGTGTTTAATTTTTTGTGTAGTAAAATAACTTTGTTTTAATTATCACTAAAAAATTATCATTTGCAATTTATCAAGTTAATAATTTTAACTACATTCTTAGAGAAAAAAAACTATTATCAGATAACTAAGCAAATAAATATTTTCATTGAAATTTAGAAAAGGGCCATGTTCAACAAAAGCAACAAAATGGTCTAAAAATCACGCTTTAGTATTGAAAAATTACAAACTTTTTGTGAGCGAATGAAAGAAAAATATCTTGGTACATTACGATAAAACATTACAATTATTTTTAATTATTATTCAGGTATTCCTTTTAGAAGCTGTATTGTTTTAATTAGAATACCTTGTATATTTTTTCTGTAGATACTTAATACTTATGGTTAAAACATTTAAAATTAATTTTTAAAAACGTGCCATTTTGACCTGGGAAATGTATGAAAATTTAATAAAATACAGCTTATTTACACAAGACAATTAATTCAGAAAGTTACCTACCGTTTTTCCCCCACAAAAAAAATCCTTAAAGTCAAATCCGGCATATTTATAAAATGCAAGGTACTTTTCATTTGAAATGTACCTCTTCTTTGAGTCAAAACAATTTTTTTGCAAAATTTCAGGCTTGCAAAGTGCAATTATTTTGAAACCTGTTAGGTAGAAAATTCTGAGATATACCTTTTCCTTCTATCCTCTATGACAAGGAATTTGAATTCGCAAAATATATGTTCTATTTAAGAAAAGGTTTTTTGTCTATAATATTAAATGGAATTCTAAATGATCATCAAAAATAATTTTAAACTGCAGGTAACAAGTAAGTTCTATGAGAATATGTTGAAACATTCTTTAATAGTCCATGAGGAATGAGTGATATTGAACCAGTAAATCACATAAGTTAATCTCAGGTACAGATTTATACTTTCATTTTTAAAATTATCGCAATTTTGTTTCTACTATATTTTCAACAATAATAAATTCATTAAGTAGTGATTAAAAAAACTGTAGATATATATTAAACTTATCACACACATGTACACTATAATAAGATAGTTAAATTTGAAAATTCAAAAAAAAAAAATAAAAAAAAATCCTTTTTATTGGCAAAAAAATTAACCCAGTTCACTAAAAAGAAGAGTTTTTTAAAATAAAGACACAAAAAATGTTCACACTTCACTATAAGCAAGAGTTATTTTAAAAAATATTTAATATTATCAGCATTAAATTCAGAATAAAATAGAAATTTGCTAAGTAAAATTAAAATAGAGCGACATCAATATTTTTCCAAAAATTTTGAATTAATGGTGAAAATTCACAAATAAAAACGTATTTAAAAAACGTATTCTGTTGCTACTTAAATTTAAAATAAAAAAAAATCACTTACCATTTTATGCACCATCTTAGACAATATCACTAGTTGTGTTTGGCGGCAATGTCGAGGTGGAGGCTTTTATATTCTAGTCTTAAGGCTGATGACCGCCACTGATCAGTGCTCCGTCTTCAATCGGGTCTGGTCAAGGCCAAAATGGTGCACCTATTCAACAAAGATGCTGCAAGAACTTCTGCTAAGCAGGTTCAAATGCTGAAAAATGTACCTTGACAAAGACCATCGACGAAGAAAATATTTTAATATATTTGCATTACGTTCACACCTGCATGAGTTTTGTCTCAAACTGCAAATCACGTTATAATAATTTGTTGCAATTCATTACCTAGTTAGATGCAGGTTAATTAACAAAGGCATTATCATTTTTATATCTTATACTTACTGCATCAAACGACATTTTTTTTATAATTTTACTTAGTTGGTGGAAGTACTTATGAAATGAATTAAAAATTTGACAATAATACCATTTGATAATACAAAAATTAAATTACATAATTTTTTTATTATTTTTTTGTGTTTCATAAGTTATTTATTTTGTATAAAGCGCAATTTAAGATAGAGTAGTATATCTATATGAATTTTCTAAAAATATTGTTCAATTATTGAATATCATTCTTTAATTAACTATTTTTGCAAAAAATGATATAATCAAGCTAAGCTAGGAGATTCTAAACTTCTTGGGAAAAAATTTCAGTTATGTAATTGCAATCTTACTGTATTAAAACAGAAAAAAGTGTAGATTATTTATTAACTAATAATAACACACTCCTATAAATCTCGTAAAAGTTAATGTGTGCAACGCTTTATAATCATCTGGACATAAAATTAACTTTTCCTGAAGCATCTCATAAGACACCATTTCCCGCAGTGCTAATTTACATTTTAGTAAAAAATCTCCCGTCTTTGCGTTATAATTTGCATTGTTATCTCATGCATCATAAATCTAAAATTCTAATAAGAACCTCATAACGTCATAACAACACACGCAGGATGTTTTCCCCGTCAGCGACAACCATATTTGCAATTTTTTTAATAATATTTTTAATCTGTTGATTTCCATATTTTCTCGGATTTTTATTTCTTTTTTGGGTTAACAAATTCCTTGTTTATAGGTGCCGCTTCTTTTCGATAATTATAAAATACATAACAACGTCAAGGGGCAAAAAGAAAAAAACTGTGAGACGAGTGATTTATGTTGGCCTGACCGGGGAAATCCAGCGTACCGAGCTTTATAAACACAAACAAATGTGATGCAAGCCGTGTCAAGCCTCAAAGATGAATTTAAATGAAAATTTGGCCGTTGATCACTAGGCTTATGTTATAAATAAAAATTCTTGTCACATAGCCTTCTGAAAAGCCCATTGGTCATAGTGGGAAAGAGTTGGCTGTTTGCTATGGTGATTTAGTTAGGTACAATGCCTGTTTTTAAATATATTAAAAATAAATGGTTAATATTTAGCATATTTGCGTCTGCATTTAGCATATTAGGATTATTTTCAAATTGTAAGGAGCAAAGAACCCTTTTAAATCTACTGCGATTATGTCCAGAGTAAACAATGCTCTACTATCGACGTAAACAAGCAATTTCTTTGCGAAATGGAATTTTCTGCACTTCTAAAACTGGTATTTCACTTGAAGATGCAATTTTAGATTAACTTTTATTCAAATAATTCACAAAAAAAATAATGCTAGAATGCGTAGCATAAAATAATTCTGCAGATCCTTGTCAATTTCATTATCGAGAAAAAAGTAATATTGCCCATTTGAATTACTAACTACCAAATGCAATCGCCCCGATAGTTAAAAATCGCTTAAATAATTAGTTCCCAAAATAAAATAGGATTGTAAACGAATAGGTCAATGAAGGCAGGGAACTCCCCACGGTCACATCGAATTTGTTGTGCTTCAAAAGCACTTTCAATATAAGGATTTCTAAATATTGTTCTTATATTTTTGACGAACGTACTGTATTGCAGGATATAATTAATATTATATTATGTTATAGAACACATAAATATATATTCAGTTCCCAAGCGTAAACCAAGGAAGTATTGTAATAAATAGAATTCATGTGGCAAACAGCTAATGTAATATTTTTTCCACATTGTATGACATCTGGAGTATAAAACAATAGGTCTCCCGTTTCCATCTGTTTGTCATCTGTGTGTCAGCTATTAGCGATTATATTAGATCGCTTGATTTTTTAACTTAGGCGTCCAGATTTTAAGAAAATGAGAGTCATAAATTTATAACAACATTTTACTATTTAACTTAGAAACCGCAGAATCGAATGCTTTGAAAACTTTAAGGTTATCGTAAGCGTTGTCAATCGTTGATCAAAATTTATATGGATTTGTTTGATTGTATTTTGGGAGCGAAGAAAGTTTTGTCATTATCACTTTACACCTTTTTTTTAAGATAATTTTTATAAAATTGAACAAACAGTTCCTGCAGTATTTCGTGTGCGTACTATACAGCTGGTAATTTCAAAAATAACAACAAAATAATAATTTTCGAAGAAAGCTACCCTAAATAGGGCTACTTTGGACAACTTATTAAATAAATTCTTAAAATAGCGTTATAAAGTATTTGGTCAAAATAATAGTAATTAACGTACTAAGATTAAAATGAAATCATTAAAACTTAATTGAAAATTTCCAATAAATTAACCCAAATTTCGACTACATTACGTCGTCTGAGAACTTGTTTGGTCTACAGACCAGAGCGCACTCAGGCCAATGTCGACTCTAAGCGTTCAGAAGCGATTTGATCTATAAGTCATCTTCCGTGATCTGATACACATCCTAACCGGTTTCGACCATAATTTCTACGGGAAAGAATTGCTTGGTCGGACTTTACAACGAATAAGTGAACATTTTGGTAGATACATGTGTTAATTATTGACATGCAACTATTTTTTGTTTAATTACGAAATAATTCTTTAATTATGTTTGGTACTAGCAAAATTCGTCAAATTAATAATCCTGATGGAATCGTTATCATGCAATAGATTTTTTCCCGGAAAGTGTAGTTATTTTTATCTTTTGGAAACGTTAGGATCTACTTTGCATGAATTTTTAATTATTTTTTAATTTAAATATCTAGCAATAACACAACAAGCTGAAAAGTCTTTCAATGATGTTCGTTCATTTGTTGATCCAGCCATAAATCTTATTTTGATTTCGTGCTACAATTAATTTTAGAAATAAGAGCAAAATGTTTGACTGTTGTAGGAGCGTCACTAAAGATTCTAAAAAATCGATTTCTTTAAAAAAATACATGAACATCTTAACGATTTAGTACATAATGTTCCCGAATGACAAAATTTACATTTCAAAACTCTTAACAGCTGGTTTATCTGCTAGAGCAGCATGATAGTAGAAAACAAATTATGCAGCTTACAATAAAATAAAATAATTTGACAAACTATTTTAAATGTTAAAAAGTAACATTGTCTTTCGATTTTTGTTTTTTCAAACTTTCGAATTCTCAATTTTTCGAAATTTTACTTTTGGGATTTTTCACTTTATTTATTATGCAATTTTTGGATTTTATGATTTTTCAATTTTTCAATTTTTAGATTTTCAGTTTTTCGATTTCTTAATTTTCCGATGTTTCGGTTCTACGTTTTTTCAATTTTTCTTCTCTTCAATTTTACAATTTTTTAAATATTTCGATTTTTCAATTTTTGACTTTCTTAAACTCACAATTTTTCGATTTTACAATTAAGCGATGTTTTGGTTTTCCAATTTCTTTACTTTCGACTGTTTCGATTTTTCAGTTATTCAATTCTTCAATTTTTCGATTTTTCATTTCTTCAATTTTTCAATTTTTCAATTTTTTATGTTTTTAATGTTTCAGGGTTTCAATTTTTTCAGGTTTTGATTTTTTGACTTCACTTTTTTTACTTTTTGGGTTATCAATTTTTCAATTTTTTAATTTGTCAGTTTTTGTTTCAGTTTTGAGATTTTCCAGTTTTCCATTCTTCAGTTTCTTTCATTTTTCAAATTTTCTAAATTTCAGTTTAGGGATTTTTCAATACATATTTCGATTCTTCGACTTTTCGATTTTTAACTTCTGGATTTTTCGATATTTCAGTTCTTCGATGGTTCAATTTTTCAAATTTTGGAATTTTTCAAATGTTTCGATTTCTTAATCTTTGGAATTTTCGACCTTCCGGTTTTAGATTTTCTCTTTTTAAATTTTTCGTTTTTTCAAATGTTCGTTTTATCAATTCTTCGATTTTTCAATTAATCGATGTTTTCATTTTCCCTTTTCTTGATTTTCCAGTGCTTCGATTTTCTTCTTCTTTAATTCTTCAAATTTTCGATTTTCCAGATTTTTGATTTTTCAATTTTTCGATTTTTAAATTCCAGATTTTTAAAATTTTTGATATTTTAATTTTTCAATTTTTAAAATTTTAGATTTTTCGATTTCATGATTTATCATTTCAGTTCTTCGATATTTCAATTTTTCAAAGTTTCGAATTTTTCGAATGTTTCGATTTCTCAATCTTTCGATTTTTCGATTTCTCGGTTTCACATTTTCTGTTTTTCAATTTTTCGATTTTAAAAATTTTCCGATTTTTCAATGTTTTGATTTTTCGATTTATCGAATTTATAACTTTTAGATTTTTTATTTTGGTCTATTTCGGTTTCTCAGTCCCGTTTTTCCAATTTTCCAACTTTTAACTTTTCGTTTTTTCGATTTTGGCCTATTTCGGTTTCTCAATTTTTCGATTTTTTGACTTCATGACTTTTCGATTTATCAATATTTCAATTTTTGAATTTTTCTAATTTTAAAATTTTTTCGTTTTTCGATTTATCGAGATTTCGATGTTTCAATGTTTTGATTGTTCAATTTCTCGATTTATCAATTTTTCAATTTTTAACTTTTCGATTTTTCGATTTTGGCCTATTTCGGTTTGTCAATTTTTCGACTTTTCGAGTTCTCAATTTCTCGATCTTTTGATTTTTCGATTTTTTACTTTTCGGATTTTCGGTTTTTCGATTTTTCCAGTTTTTAGATGTTTCGATTTTTTAATTATTCGATTTTTCGATTTTTTAAATTTTGGAGTTTCGATTATTCGTTTTTGGGTTTTTAAATTT